CACTTATTGAAACTACAAAAAAGATAGCATACCCAATTCTTAAAAATGGATACAAAAGAGATATACTTCTTAAAATAAAAATGAGACACCATAGGGTTATAAAACTTATTATAGTATTATAAAATTATCATTTTACCCTTGTACATATTTTGTCAACAGCAAAACTACAAAGCCACTGAATGCCAAGAAGTGGATGTCATGGGATGATTTAGGCAGCTTTAAGAAGATGGGCATCAACATAATGTTAAAGGGAGGTTGAACTGAGATCCTCCAAGTGAGTGGGAGAGTTGGGTATGAGCCTACTCGCCTAAATTTAATTGGGCTTTTTTATGGTTACTAGACAATATTTATACATGAGGAATTCCAATGCTTATAATAGTTGGAGAAGAAGCCATCTACTCTCTTGAAGGAACTAGTGCTCTTTCTAGTTTTCTCTCTCTCTCCTCTCTTGACATGACTTAGTCATTTTTTATTAATTCATATAAATTAAATATTTATAAAATTATAAAATAATAATTTTTAGATATTTAAAAGTATTTCTAAATAAATATATCAATTATAATTCAATAAAATTTCTATAGTAAGAATTTTCCAAGTTGATCACAAGGATGTGAGATAATATTAAGCATAATTTTATAATTTTATGAAAAGAGTATCTTTTTCAGACTAAATCTTTTAAAATAAATCTATTTGAAAATTCACGACAAATAAAAATAAAGGTTTTGACATTAGAATTATGTCACTATCTCAATGAATGTGATTCACGTGAAAATAAAGTTATGTCTTGTGATTATTACATAAATGATTGTAGACGATTCAATTGATGAAATTGGGATCTTTAAATGTTAAAATAATCATAATTTACTAAAGAATAGTTTTTGAAATTTGAAATAAAGTAAAATATTATTAATCTAAAGATTAAATTAGTTTAAAATAGGTAAAGACAAAATTTCAACATTGCAGAGACTATGCATCAAAAAATGTGGCATTCAAGATGATTATCATAAAATGTCTATAGCCTCAAAAGCTTTCCTTGGAAATAGATGTCATAGGTAATCTCTAAATCTTCTTGTGAAGTCTAAAAATTGATGAGATGAGTTGATGAACCCTTGGACTGCTGCGAAAAACACCGTCGGATTTCAAAGTAGCCCGATCCAATTCAAAAATTTCCCCCAATTGGGCGCGTCTAGCATATCATCTCTGATGATTGTCACCCGGCAGAGTGGAAATATAGCAACTTGTAAATCTCTAATGGTTATCACCTGATAGAGATAAGTTATAGAATGGTAGGGGGTCTCTTAGGGAGCTTCATCCTCAAGTCCATATAGTAAGATAAAAGTTATTTATCACATTTGGTATGCTCTTAGGAGGTAATAACTCGTCTCTTAATAGATCATCATTTTCCCAACAATACTTTATTTACCGATCAATCGAAGATAATTTATTTAATAGATTTTTAATCTTTTTATCTAAAATCATTTAGTAATTTAAGATAATGATGTTCTATGAATTGTATTTATGAAACTTTTACTGATGATTGAGTGATTATGGTAGCTTAATCATTAACTCACACTCTATAGGAAAATCATGATTTAATCAAGTAAAAATATGAGTTTTTGTTCTAATAAGATTTGAACCCTTGTTAGTCACCTGTTGACATGACTTAATTATTGTATAGTAAATCACACAAATTTAAATTTATAAAACTAAAAAATACCAATTTTCAGATATTTAGAAATATTTTTGAATAAATATATCAATTATAATTCAATAAAACTTCCAAAAATAGTGATCATTTTTCAAATCGATCACAGGGATGTAATATAATATCAGTAATTATTCAAAATTTTCCTCAAAGAATATGATTTTTTATAAATTTTATACTAAGAAATGAAAATAAAATATATTTAAAATTCACAAAAAAGAAAAATAAGGATGCGGACACTAGATAACGTCAATGTCCGACGAACGTGAATTGAACAAAAATAGAGTTCTACTTGACGATTCTTATGTAAGTGATTACAGATGATTTAATTGATCAAATTAAGATCTGTAAAAGCCAGAAGAATCGTAATTGAATGAAGTATAGTTTGGTAAATTTAAATCACACAAATTATCACTAAATGAAGTGAAAATTAAGTTGAAAGTAGGAAAATAGAGTTCTGACGTCGTGACGGCAAAGCGTCGGCGATGCACTGAAATCTTGAGTGTTCAAGAGGATCGTCGTGCAGTGTCCACGGCCTCAAAGGCTCTCCTTGGACAAAGATGACGTGGGCAATCTCTAGATCTCCTTGCGAAGTCTAGAGATCAATGAAATGAGTCATTGAGTCGTCTCCGGCGGCTGTCACCTGACGGAGCGGAAAAACGGTGACTTTGCGGCTCTCTAGCAACTATTACCCAACAGAGAGGAGCTGAATGGAGGTAAGGCGCGTGTCAAGGAGCTTCATCCTTAAGTCCGCACAGTAAGAAGAGGCTCTTCATTGCATCCGGTATGCTCTCAGGAGGTAGCAACTCGTCTCCTGATGGATCGTCCTCTTCTTGACGATAGCTAGTTTGTCAATCAATCGGAGATGATTTACTCAATGAATTTGCGATCTTTTTATCGCGAATCGTTCAATAATTTTAGTAACAATACTCTGCAAATCGCATTGACAAGATTTTCACCAATGATCTAGCAATTCTGACGACTTAATCCTTCACCGACGATCTATAGAAAAGTCGCGATAATCAGATAAAAATATGAGTTTTGACTCTAGGAGGATTTGAACCTACGTCAATTGCCCTCCTTTGAAACCTTTTAGGAGAAAGTGTGATGCAGATTTAATCCCACATCGCTTGTGCGCCGAAGTTTTGGGCAATAAATATTAATATCACATTTCAAAATAATGAGTCCCTTTCTCCCATATGTACAACCACTATTTATCACATAGTCAACTGGCCACCAGTGATGTGGAAGGGGAGTGGCGCATGTGTACCCCCATCGGTCTTAGCCGCTCAAGCCCCTATTCGCGGCTCCCCTCGACTACACTTCCGACCCGCTTGTGGGCTTGGCTGGCCAGCGAGTCCCCCTCGTTTTGTTATATTTTTATTTTTATTTCTTTTCTTTTTTTATCTAAAAATAGGACTATAAAAATTATATAAATTTGTAGAAAATCATATAATTTGCCAAAAATTCACGTTAATCAATTGAAAACCACTTTTCACAATTTAGCACAAATATAAGTTTATTTATCATGAGTTAAGACTAAAAATATATTATTTACTAATTATTGACTCATGATAATGAAGACTTATCACCTTCTTACATAAGAAAGAGCAAAATAAATACATGAATATCTTTTTAAAAGCTAACATCATAAGGGTACCTACTTCTCATAAGTAAAAGGTATTTTGGACATTAAAACTATTAAAAATATTATGAAAAGTTATGACACCAATTTAGTTTTATATTAATTATTTTTTCAAGTTTTGAGACAGGTATATAGTAATACAAGATTATGTTATTAATAAGTCTCTTTCTTGGATGTGTACGACCACTTATTGCCTCATGCACACTTAACTCTAGTGACGTGAAAGGAAAGTGATGCACACATGTCCTGCCAACCCTAAATTACTTGAGCCCATTGCTCACGGCTCCGTCCAACTATGCTTCCACTCACTTGTGGGCCCGATTGGTCAATGGGTTCCTTCTTTTTTTATTTTATTATTTTATTATTTTATTTTATTTTATTTTATTTATCTTCATTTATCTCAAAATATAATTATAAAAAATATATAAATTTGAATAAAATCACATAATTAACCGAAAATTAATGTAACCAACTAAAACTACTTTTCATAATTTAACATAAATATAAGTTTAGTTATCATGATTTAAGGCTTAAAATATATTATTAATTAATTATTAACTCATAATAATGAATACATATCTCCCTTAGCATGCTCCACTTTTATTTTTCTTATTAGTCCAAGCTTAGTTTCCATAGAAATTCTCCTTCATGGAAAGCTTAGCTTTCATACTTAACTTATTTATGGTGATGGAGATAAGAGTGTTACGCCTAATTTTATTATTTTCCCAGTACTCTGACTTCTTCTGTTCGAGGCAGAGCTTATTCCCGTTGGAGCTTTCTGTGCAACCGACGGCGCACAATCTACCCTTGTGGTGGCTACAGCATATTTTTGTAAAAACCAGTCCGGCAGCGCCAAGCCTGCGGAGAAAGGGGCTCCGCCAGCACGTCGTAATGGAGGACGGCCGCCATGAACGGAGGGGAGAACCAGCGCGGCGACTGGCGGCAGGGTAGCCATCAGCAAACCTTCTAATGCGACATCTCTCTATTCCCACGATATCCATTGCTTGCCCGGAACACCAAGGTTGAGGGAGGCTGGTAACATCATGGTGAATCCCCCGCCGCCACTCATCCTCGATCTGCCGTTCAGCCATTGACGGAAAATATCTCCTCTCTCTCTCCAGGCCTGCAGCTTCCTAGTGTTTTCCGGCTGATTTTTATAGCTTTCCCTCTCTCCGGGAGAGTGCGCGGAAGCTTCATCAATCGAATACTTGTGTCTTCTTCAAAGTCGTCTCTCTTATTAAACTTGTCTGACGTCAAGTGACCCACCTCCGGTCGATTGGAGCCACAAGCCGGAAACGACGACCTGGCGTGAGGCTATTGAGATGTGGAGATACAGGAAGAGAGGCGCACACGGGCTCGCGGCGACTTTAAATGCCTATATATCCTCGGAGCACCTAGGAAGTTCCTCTTCGAGAACCAACGCGCTGATACCCCTTCCCTCTCCCCTTCCCTCACCTCCCCCACCCCTCTCTCTCTCTCTCTCTCCTCGTCATCGTCTCCATCCAGCATCGTCACCATAATCATCATCCCGTCACTATATACATCTCTCTCTCTCTCTCTCTCTCTGCATCTGTACAACCCACAGAAAGAGTGGCAGCAACGGCCAATCAGAGATCCCGAGGTTCGCCAACAAGTTGAATCCACGAGGAAATGGCACAGGCATCAACAAACACTCGCCGCTCCACGACCCACCAGGACCACGGCTTCTCTTCTTCCTCTTCCTCCTCTTGTCGGTCGTGGCATCCTGCGAATGGGTTCTCCAATGCGGCCGAGTTAGAGTCGCCGCAGCATCGGGAGAGATACCTGGGGCGGATGTTCCGGTTCGTGGACGAGAACGGGGACGGGAAGATATCGCCGTCGGAGTTGCAGAGCTGCATGAAAACTGTCGGGGAGGAGCTGACGGAGGAGGACGCGGAGGCGGTGGTGGAGTCTGCGGACTCCGACGGCGACGGGTTGCTAGGGTTTGAGGACTTTGCGAGGCTGGTGGCGGAGGGGGAGAGGGAGGAGGAGAGGAAACGGAGCCTGCGGGAGGCCTTCGGCGTATACGCGGCGGAGGAGGGCGGCTGCATCACCCCACGCAGCCTACGGAGGACACTCGCTCGCCTCGGCGAGGCGAAGACCCTCGAGGCCTGCCGCCTCATGATCCAACGCTTCGACCTGAACGGTGATGGCGTGATCTCTTTCGACGAATTCATCGCCATGATGCTTTAGTCCTCACCATCCCCCCTCCCCCCACCCTCTCTCTCTCTATCTCTTCCCCTCTCTTGCTTGCTCTCTCTTCGTGTATGTATACATCAATTCTTGTACATGATGCGCCATTTCTACCCTCTCTCTCTCTCTCTCCCCCTCTATCTCGCTTTCACTAGTATTGATGATCTCTGTTGGTCACCACCCGTCGTCACGTTCTCACTCATACAACGACCTGTTTGTCTGAAAGGTCAGCATTTGCGCCGGCGGGGGAGGCCGCCGCCGGCTTCCGTCGGACCACGCGTTCGTAGTTTGGCCGGCCAAAACACGGCGGAAGTTGGACTCCTGAACCATCTCCGAACCCACCCTCGTCGTCTCCCCCTCTCTGCAAGAAGATTCAGCTTCGCGTTATTCTCTTTTATATAAACTCGATAATCGAACCAAGTAATTTAAATTAACCCATAATTAAGGTTTTCATGCCTTTCTCCTCTCACGAAATTCGATTCGAAACAATTTTATTCCGAGAAATTCCCAGATAACTCCTCCGCCATGTCATAATCAGCGTTGTTGCTCTCAACTCTCCACTGACAATCGGGTTACCATCATCAGCACAGTGCTCGGCTCAACCACTAGTCCATGGGGGCCATGCATGCTTTTCAGATTTTTCTAGAGTCATTAGGTTTATTCAGATAATTAACCAACATGGGGCCGATTATTACTGATAAACCCATTTAGATATTATTACTTAAAGTGAGATAATTCTCAGCATCTTCTAATAGATTAGGTCAATATGTTAGGTAGAGCGTTTTCTCATCAGGAAGCAGCCCAGAAAAGGAAGCTTGAGCATCAAAAAGGCGGCAGCTTTTCTAATGCATCCATGTCAAGTGGATGGGTTGGTGACCGAGGGCGATCGCGGACGCAGTTTTTGTCACAAGGTTAGGGCAGTTGACCCCTGAAGTTATACGGAAATAAATATTCCGTACGTTTTTCATCTGTTCCGGTGAACAAGGGCTGGCCTGTTGAGATAGCTTCTTAACCAGGGTTGGCCTGTTGAGCCCGCTGAAATTATCCCGTTAATAAGCAATTTTCATTCTACACAATTTAGGGGGAATGGTGTCTTGATATTGGAAAAAATAATGCAGTTCTTATTAAACCAACCCCAAATAAAATAAGAATATCTGATAAAAAAAACCATTTTTCAAAAAAAGGAAGCAGGCAAAAATAAAACCTGATATTGATTTCTTATCAAACTTTTTTTTTTTTTAATTGAAAAAACGTACAAAAATAGGAATGAAAATAATAAAAGAATTGCTGGTAAAAAGACTCTATATACCTCAAAGGCAATCGTGCACAGATGACCATATGCTTTTGTAGGCACACCCATTAAAATCAAACCATAGACAGCACTATACTTTTGAAAGGCCCGTTAGCCTATAATTTCTCAGCAGACTAGATGATGTATGCATAATCATAGAGCCTCTATCACAAGCTTCGATGCTCTTCATCAGGCATCAAGAGACAATGAAGTTATAAGATGGCAATGAGAGTAGGCAGACAAGACAGAACCCCAACTCATCCCGAGGGGAGAGAGTTCACACTGCTGGGTTCATCATGGGGGATAGCTCCTCACACAGCATCATCTATTTACATGCCATTCATGGTGACCACAACCTTGCGTGGGGTGGCGTGGTCTCGGTGCTCGCACAGCCATATTCCCTGGATTCACATCAGAGAGATATTTTTCAGGAGAAAGACATAATCTTGACCAAGAACAAGGAACTGGGTAGGTTTAGGGTTCAGGCCCCAAGGGCTTCATCATCTTAATCAAGAATAAAGAAATAAGAGAGAAAGAATAAAGAACTGAGTGTGGGTTTTGGTTTTCGGAAGAAAAATATGTAAATGAGCGTCATCTTATATATGAACAACGAACTGGGTAGGGGCTTCAGGTCTGGGTTTATGTCTCCAGGAGGAAAATAAAACACAAAAGTGAGCATCATCTTGATTGAGAACAAGGAATCGGGCAGGTTCTAACATCCACAGAGACTCTTCCATGGAACGATGAGAACCACGACAGCATAGAATAAATAAGAGGGGAGGCAGAGGGTTTATTCGCTATTCCAACCTGCCAAGTGCCCATGTTAAGACGACCATCGGTAATCGGAATGCTGCACAAGACATAGAAAATCGTCACTTTCTTGATAAGAGTTGGGGGTTCAATAGGAGTTTGAAGAATCCATGGATGCTACATACGTGAGAGAACAGCCAAACATTGATGATTTGATGTGAGCCGGCATATCATCTGGGCCTGCAAAATTTTCCCTTCTTTTAGCAAATACCATTCAATGCACATTACATCGACAACCCAAAATGGGTTTTTTTTAAAAGAAAAAGATTTGAACTTTTTGTTGCAGATTAGCAACCAAGGATCCACAGGATTTTAAGTTTTCTGGGTAGCTGCCCACCAACGGCAACATCCCACAATGCATAATGAACGGGCCTGCCACACTGAAAGCTACCCCTTTGTGGGAAGCGGTGTTTAAGCAAGTGGCCATCAAAAGTCAACCTTAGAATCTAGAAGATGCGAGGCATTCCACCTACTGTAACTCATTGCGAAATCATCCATTCTTGCTTTAGCTATGAATAGTCGGAGGAAATAGTGCGTGTTGGTTCATTGAGAAAAAGAAGGTAGAATTCTATTACCAGCATTCCATGTAAGACCCTAATTCCACGCTTACAGTGAAGAGAAGCATAAATAAAAGTTGGGAAACTGACGCAAGATCCCCTAGCTGTCAACTGCGAATATGAAGCAAAACTCACCTTCTAGCGTGTGTTTCCAAGGTGCCGAACGACCCTGGAAGAACAAGAATCCGATTATCACCAAAATCAAATAATAAGGGGAAATCTAGGCCAAACAGTGATAAACAAAGCAGAGGAAGGGTTCAGACCTCGGGAACAATTCGATTCAAGAAAGTTTCGGTGTCATCTTGGACATCAGAATCGTAGTTCTCGTTTATTGTCAGTGACGCGCTTGTATGCTGCACTGGAGATTTCTCTCCATTTTCTGAAAAGTCAGAACATCTAAAAGCGTGACGAGAAATGATAAGCAAGGCACAGCGATTTCGCTTACAGAAGAGATAAGCAATTCCACACTTGAATCCTGATAAGTCTTGTTCGATTTCCCGCAGAATCTGGTCAGAAAGATGAGCAGAGAGGAGCTAAGATAAAGGCGCATTTATCAAAACGAGGTCGAGGACTGACCATCTTCACCTTTGAACAGTTATTTAACGGACCCTCATGACCATTTGGCGTCTGCGCCACATGATAAATAACATGTATCTTAAAAATAAATGATCTGGCAAATCAACTGTCTTCTACCTGCAAACGGGTGTTGAGAATTTCTCCAAGAAACTGAAGAAACCCATTTCAAGCAGAAGCATATTCAAGTGGCAGTACAAGATCAGAGTGCAAGCCATCAAAGGCTGTATTGTTTTGCTTCCCTAAGAGGAGGTGACAGGAAACTACGCCCGAAGCTCTCATAATCAAATGTTTATCGTCGGGTAGGCAAAAGCCCATAATAGATCCCTCATATTTTCCGAAATTTAGCACCTCAAAATCCTAGACGGATCATTTCGAGGGATCGATAGCTGTGGCGATAGCAGAGCCACCATCTTCAATTGAGGAGGCTTGTTCTAAAATGGAGGTTATTTTCCTCAGTTCTAGGCGCAGATTTGTTTGATCTCTTGATCTATTTCTGTCTTGCGGGAACCGTCGACTAATCTACCCAGCAGTCCAACTAATCGCTCAGCCAAACGAAGAACTGCGAGGAACAGCACACCGGAGCAGGAATGGGAAGGAAAACTCAGAAAGAATCAGCCAAGGGGAGCAGATCATGAGACTACGCGAGTGATCAGAGAGAAATTTCCTGACACGCGCGAGAGAACGAAGCAGATGAACAGAGAGGGTATTCTACCCTGGAGGTGATGAGGTGGCAGCCCCGCCGCTGTGCGGGGATGACGACGGTCTTCTGGGCCCACTTGCCGGCCATGGTGGACGACGACGATCGCTCCTCCGCCGCCAGGGATGCCGACGGGTACGCCGCTCGCCTGATATGCAACGCACGCGACCTCCCCGCGCAGAATCGGGAAAAGGAGATAAAAGGAGGAGGAGCTACGCCAGAGGACAGGCCTGTAGGGTGGTGGGAAGCTTGGAGGAAGAGGGTCGGAGAAGAGAGGAGGGATTGCATGCCGGGTGATGTTGCAGCAAGTTATAGTGGATCCACAGGAGACGAGAAGCTGGGCAAAAGCTGACTGCGGCGGCGAAGGGGAAGATGGTCGAGCCGGGGACAGAATTCGACGGAGCCGCCACAGTTGCCAGGGGCCGCTAAAGGCCCCATCTTCATGGCTCGGCTCGCGGTGTGGTGAGGATGAAAGCTCTCTCTCTCTCTCTCTCCCCCTACGATCACTAGATATTTCTTTCGGTGGATCGGCCCGTTATGATAGAGCTCGGGTCCGGGCTCTTTTCACTATTAGTTAAGCTTTTAGGCCCAAACATTAAAAAAGTGTCGGCCCGAGAGTCTGCTGCTTCAACACGTGGCGCATCATTCGTGAGACACGTCATTACTCTCGCTGCCTCTTTCTCTCTCATAGCAAGCGCGGGAAGGATCGCCGCTGCTGTTGGTGCTGTTCTCTTCCTTCTTCAACTGCGCTTCCTCCTCGGGTTCCTCGTCACCAGTGCTTCAAACGATTACTGCTGCTGCTGCTTGTAGGATGAGCGCGCGCCTGGTGATCTTTCTGATCTTTCTTGCCGCTGGAAATGAGCCGTGCGCGCACCGTGGTTGGTCGGAGAGAGGAGTTGCGGCTGAGTTGAGGGCGGGAGAGGAGGGACGCGTGGTCTCCCGGATTGCGTTTGGGTCCTGCGCGAATCAGAACGCTTCGCAGGTAGGGGATTGCTTCCGAGTTTTAGATAGAGTCGATAGAGCTCGCGGCAGTGGTGGTAATCGGACGATAATTTGTGTTCACAGAGGTGGATTGAAAATTAGTTGCATATTTTGTTCCTGGTTCTCGGAGGACATGTTAAAGGTGATTTTTCTTTTAAACTGAAAAACTGTCAGACGAAGCATTCAAGCCTGATTTTCTCTGAAAATATTTGCCGGAGCTTCTTTTTTTTACATTGATGCCGAGTATGGGATGATTTTCTTTCTGTGGGAGATCAGATTAAATATGTTTTTCGATTACTAGGTTAACAAACGCACTCGATCGATCTCAAGAATTGCTGAAATACGATTTTCAGATTCCTCTTTGTCTTTATGTTGTCGCGAACTGATTGCGATTTCGTAACTGGAGTAAACACACTCTTGGCATCGAATGAGAGAAGTATTTCTCGTGCAGCCCATTTGGAGCGCAATAAACGAGTTCGATCCCCAGCTGTTCATTTGGTTGGGCGACAATATCTATGGGGATAATAAGAGACCACCAAGGGTTTTCGGAAAGGAGAGGACGATCGGGCCATGGAAGAATGTGCCGGTGTTCTTCCCAGCATCGGAGCAGGAGCTGAGGGAAAGATACAGGCTACAAAAGAGTAAACCAGGTTACTCTAATTTAAGGAGAAGAGCTCAGGTTGACTCCAGTTTGTGTACTTTTTTATAATGGTGGCCAAAATAGTTCGTCTTTTCGATTTCTTTCTTGACAGTATATCTGGTATTTTGGGCTGCTCTTGAACATGAGATTCTTTCTTTTTTCTGGAAATATGTCTCGCTAATCTGTTTTGAAGTCCTGACATCTACGGTCTCCATCTCTCTGCCAACTTCTCTGGATTAATTCTAGGCATTCCAGGTGCGAGGTTGACGGTCGAATGACTGCCTGCTAGGGGGAAAAAATTGCGTCAAAGCGCTCAGAGTTCTACTTAGTCAACCATAGATTGCTTCGTCATTCATTGATTACACTAGTTGAGGCAAAAATGTGGTGATACGCTCTGCCATGATTTGTAGATTAGGTCTTGGCTGCCAACCTTTTTTTCCCACAAAGAGTTATGCTTAACATCTTGTTTTTCATGTCTCTACTCTTTAGTTCAATTTTTATCAATTTTTGGATTTACGTGTTTGGGAAAGAGGCAGTTTAAACTAGAAGTTCATTACATTTTTTGTCCTCAAGTTGTGTCATGAAGATGCACATGGATCCTCATTTGGTTCTTCTGCTTTCTTCTAAGAAGTTGGTGTGCATTCATGCCCATCTGCGTCATGTATATAGCTTTGAAAGGTTTGCTAAACTGCTTGCTTGAAGTGAGACGACTAAACCAACTGCACACATATCTTTTTTCCCCACTCGCTTGAGAAGATTACCACTAGAGTTTTGGATAAGACACTAATTCTTTATCACACGATATAGAGAAGAGTTGTAGCCTTCCTCTGTGGAATGATGTCAGGTAATGTTTTGAGTCATTCATCATACGGTTATTCTTGACCTTATGGAATTTTTAAATTTATTTCTCAATGTCTAACTACGGAAACCCATATTTTTTGGGGGATAATAAATTAGTAGAGTAGGTTCAGCTTCATTATCACTGTCATAATTTTTTATTAAGTAATTTGGATACAATTCCTTACAGGCCCTTCCACATCCAATGCATTTTTTGGACTTTGTTGTGGAAATAATGTAAATGGACTGCATCCAGCCTAGACCATTCGTTCTGATATCATGTCAAAGTTGTTGGATCATCCAACTCAAAAAAAAAATCAAGGAATTAAGTGGGACATTTGTATAATCATAAGGTTCCCTCGTGCGACAATTCATCACAATTTTTATTTAGTTCATTGTCTTTTGCTTTAATTAAACCTCTCAGAATTCTATGCAAGGTCAAGATTGGTTTTCCCCACTTTTTTTAAAAAAGAGCTGTGTGATAATTGGTATTTTACATGTCTTTATTTATAACATTTTCTTTGTTTCAATGCAGGTCATTGGAACATGGGATGACCATGATTATGGACTAAATGACGCAGGAAAGGAATTCAGTGGGAAAAACATCACTCAGAAACTTCTGCTCGATTTCTTAGATGAGGCACCGGACAGTCCTCGGTGAGAAACTATAAGCCAGCCAATTCAATCATTCATCTTCTTCAGTTGTTTCATGCATCTTTTTAGATGGAACCCATTATGTAATCAAGCCTGTCATGTAATTTTTTACGATTACACTGGATGCAATTCCGTGATCATGACCAGACGGTTTTCAATGAGGATCGGGACCTTTTGAAAAAAAAATTGTAAATAGTAATAGAGTTAACCTTGTTGTGGAGATCTTAGGGTATATACTTATAGGAGGGCAAAATAACTGATCGTTTTGGCAACACGGTTTATGGGTTATATCTTATGATTGGGCAAATCTTTCACTTTCTTTACATATCATGGTCAGTGTTCCCTTAACACTCCTTCGATTTTACAGCTTTCTTCCAGTGTAATTTCGGTGCAATTTCTTTGGTTTAGGTTCAGACAGGCTGGCGTTTATGCGTCTTATCTGTTTGGCCCCAAGGGGAAGCAGATAAAGGTCAGTCCTGGAAATTATGAAAATAATTTTCTCTGCTTATTTTTTTTTTCCAGAGTTTAATACATCTACATGTGAGAGTATTCTTATTCTTGTTTAGCTGCATTTGACATCAAATTATGCGGAATTTGAGAAAATATAGAATTTATATGTGTGGATGTTTCAATCTGTCAAGAGAAAGTCTTATGTTTGAGTTTTTTCAACGAAAACCCTTTCTTGACCATCGTAGGTTATTCTTCTGGACACCAGATATCACAGGGATCCAATACGTAGTGATGGGAGTATATTGGGAGAAACACAGTGGGCTTGGCTTGATAAGGAACTACGTGCCCCAGCAACTCAGATAACTATCATAGGATCTTCAATTCAGGTACACGTGTTATGTCGCTTCCTTTGCCATCTCCCTGTTCTCTTGAAGGATGGTTTCTTGTTGTACTTGATTAACCATGCTTTTCAAGATAGATGATGGAACCTTGGTAAATGAGGAGATTATGTCTCACAACTTAAATATATCATTGGATTTTATTGTGGATATCATACCAATTATATTGAATCACTTAATAAAGTATGTGAACGGTATGACCATTTTGCACGGAGCGAAATTACAAAAACTACATTGTGGAGAGGGAGCTCCATGGCAAGTAATATGTGGTTGGTGACACTGAATCTGCCATGTAAGATTGGACTATAAGGAGGAATAAACTTTCCCAGAGGCTCTAGAAATGAGCACCCAACAAGGAAAGCTTAGTTTTCTGAGCAAATTATTGATCTTTGTGAGCATTATGATGCACGGTTTGCCAAATCAGCCATTGGTATGATTTGGTGGGCTCCTTAAAACCAGATAAAATTCAGTTGAGAATCAGATCAGCTGATTCTCAATGGAGAGTTTGCAAGCCAGTAGAGGGAGCAAGAGATAGAAGGAATATCCAATAACAACGTATGGGAAGAAGCAATTAATTAAGGGCAAAAAAGTCGCCTCACTATTGTTGTCCACCTTTGGCCTTAACGTCCATTTCATTTGGCTGCCGGTCCTGCAGCCACCACAGGCTGAGGAAACATTGCCCTCTCTCCCACCTGCAAATGAGGTTGGTAAGTGTGGTGAGAAGGAACTCATTCATGGTTTGTCTATGCTTGTTTCTAGCATGGTTGTATGAATTGGCCAATTTTGATCTGGATTACCTGATTTGGGTTGGAATGTGCATACCTTTTGATGCAAAAGTGGAAATGCCCATGAATTTGTTTTTATGACAACCTAGGTAAATATTGAACACCCATTTCTTATCATACAGGAACAAAACCTAATTGATTAACTAAAAGGATGCGTATGAGGTCACTATGACTGGTGCATAAGTCATTTGTTTTTTTTTCTTAGTTTCGTTCACAGTTGATCTTCTAGTGGCGCGCCCTTCTTAGATGAAAATTGTCGAATTCTGAAAGCATCGGATTTAGTGAAGAACCGAGGGACCTACGAATTGATTTGCATATTCGAGTCCTAGAATTGATGTGATTCTAGTGCTCCTATTCGAGTTTCGAATTCAAGGAAGAATCACGCAGGAGATGGAGAACAGCAACCAACTCGAGAGAGTCATCGGTTTCAAAAGGAGGAACCCTTGTTGGTTTTGTATGGAAGGAAAAGGAAAAGGGACTGTACCGCTCTCATAAGATCACTTAATCACAAATACCCAACACCAAGAACAGCCTTTCCATAATTTTCCCCTAAATTCTGCGAACGACCTTTTTCATCCTTTGTGTATCATTCATGTCATGTGCATCGTTCGAGAATTAAAGGTGGTGTTGTATCTTATGCACGTTCTCAAGCTCTGACCTTGTGCTTTCTTTTTTTTTGTGATTTCAATGCAGGTCATTTCGAATCTTTCTGCAACTACAGCTCCATTATTCCATATGGAATGCTGGGGGCGCTTCCCAAAGGAGAGGAGAAGATTGTTCGAATTGATAGAGAAAAGTAATGTGAGTTAATATAACTCTCCGAAACCCACAGTTTAATTATACACGATAAATAATCAAATTAGCATATTTATTTATTTTTAAATATTTTTCATCTGAATGGATCATGGAAAACACGCAGAGAAGCGTAGTGTTTATAAGCGGCGACGTTCACTACGCTGAGATTACCAGATATGACTGTGCCACTGGGTACCCACTGTATGATGTGACTTCCAGTGGAATTACTCAAGGTGTGGAGAAAGTCGTGCCGTCTCTGGCTTTTCTCGTGAGACTCGCAGCGTTGGTGACACCTGCTACCGTGAGAGTTTATAACTCCAAATGTCGATACAAATCATGCACATATGGTAAATTTCCATAAATGTATATTTATTTATATATATATATCCTGTCTTAACTTACCTTAGTTTCTCTTTGACACCTGCTACCATGAGAGTTTATAACTGTCGATACAAATCATGTACATATGGAAAAAATTTATAAATGTATATTTATTTATATATATATATATAGATTTATATATTGTGTATATATATATATATATTGTTCTTCCTCGTGATCATCCTTTCTGAACTTGCTTTAGCTTCTCTTTGACACCTGCTACCATGAGAGTTTATTACTCCAAATGTCAATACAAATCATACACATAGGGTAAATTTTTATACTTTTTAATAGATTGATTTATATAGATATCGTTCTTCGTCATGATCATCATGTCTGAACTTGCTTTAATTTCTCTTTCTCTCCCTCAAGTATTTCTTTTTCTTTTTCTTTTATTACATTTCTTCAAGATGAACAATAATTATCCCTGTTCAGGAATGCCAAATTTTGGGGCAATCGAAGTAGACTGGGATGCCACTCCACAGACGCTGAGGCTGGAAGCAAGGGATTCAAACGGAGATCCTGTTCTCGGTGTGAGCATCCCGCTCTCTGATTTGCAGGTCAGTGCGAACTCGATCCGCCACAGGGACTGCATTCTCGAGGTTCATCTTCCATGGATTCTCAGGCGTAGACTCTCCATCCTTGTCTTCGTATCCATTGCAGGTACATCTCACCTTACCTAATGAAGTCACTCATAAGTGTATTTTTGTGGATCAGTTGCATGCTTCTTGGCTTTAAATTACTGTAAATATTTAGAATTTTCGTGGGTTTCCTCTTTATAAAATAATATAATATTGCGTCCATTTTCATATTCAATTTTTCTAATATAGCATGTCTCTAAAGTACTCATTTTAGGGTTGAATATTTTTTAAAAAAAATACTTAATATGTATATATTCATTTATATTTTGAATGAGTAGAGAAGAAATAATCGATCCATCATCAATTATCTACTCGATTTATTTTGTTGGCCTCTAATCCCAGAAAATGCCTAAGATGGGAGATAATCTGAGGCTTTGAGACTGCTCAGATTCTTAAACTGGGGTTTAATTCTTTCAGAACAAGATTACCGTTTTTCCAAAAAACAAAAGAAAATTATATTTTTCTTTTTCTTTTTAATCCTTCCATCTACCCCGCCTTTTTGTGCAGTTTTTCTCATGCTGCTAATCGTGCTCGTCTGCATAATAATCTCACTTGCCAACCGGCTTCTTCGGAAATGCAAGATCGACTGATGAACAGAGAGGATACTTTGATTCGTCAACGCCTAGTCAAACCCATTGAGTAAGATTTCCTCAACTTCATTCCGTGATATATTTTTCATTTTTCCTATGTAAGTAACCCTAGACGTAGATTAACTGCAGAATCTATGATTAATCCCCCCACCCCCGCAAAAAACAAAAAACCAAAACCCTCAGATGGTAGCTTGAAGTTATGGTGGACCGATGACTAATAGACGGCGGCGGCGGCGATGGCAAGGGGGACGGTGAAGAAATAGGGAGCAGCGCCGTTGACGCCGTCTACTGAGGTGATGCCAATGACAGTGATGGGCTTAGCGACAGGAAGTCAACAGGTCAGGTGAAGAGTTGAACTGGTCTACACGGCCGTTTGACTCTCCTCCGTGTATTGATTCCGGAGTCTCTGCCGGTCGTGGCACGGAACTTGCCGGATTTTTATCATTAATTAATTAATGAAAAAAACTAGTTTTCCTTGGTATTATTCTTTTGGGCAACGTTTATTAATCGTGTTTAAGTCATTTATTATATATGTTCTCCATACGGAGATTATCTTGGGTGAAATAAAACAACTCGAAATTATTTTTTTTATTTTATTTTTTATTGTGTCATTAATCAACTTAAACATGTAAAATCTCTCAAGAATTTAGAAAATAAAAATTTACCCCTCTCTCGGTTCATCTTGTGGTGGCCCATTAAAAGTTATATTGACAAAATCATATTTAATTTAATTTAATTTAATTTCAGATTTTACATCAATATTTTTAAAACCCTCTAAAGAAAATAAAGCTAATATATTCTGATTCCCCAAAAGAAAAAATGGTAGTCCCCCACCCTCTCTAACACAAAGGAAAACTTCTCTTTCTCTCTCTCTCTCTCTCTCTCCCTCTCTAGACATGCCGTACTTCGGGTCGCCGTACGAAGTAGAACTCAATAATTAATATATTACTATAAATGTTAGAAGAGGACGTCTCTGCCCCCCCCCTGCGTTGACTATCTGCGGTCTATTTGGGGCTGTTGACTATGAGAAATAAGTTCTCTTTCTCTATCTAAACTTCCCTGCCCTTCTCCCGCTGCGGCAGCGGAGCGCGTAGATGGCGCCTGCCGATCCTCCTCCTCCTTCCCTCCTCCGCCTCCGCCCCTTTCTGTTCGTCGTCGTCCTCCTTCTCTTCCTCCTCCCAATCACCGCCCACGCCCGGCAGCTCTACGTCAACAACAAGCAGCTCGACTGCTACGCCACCAACGACTTCTCCACCCTCGGCTACTCCTGCGCCGCCGCCGATGTCGCCGCCGCCGGCCCCAATTCCTGCAACTCCTACCTCACCTTCCGCTCCCAGACCAACTATCAGACCCCCGCGGCCATCGCCCGCCTCCTTCGCAGCGATTCCGCCGCCATCGCCCGCATCAACGGCGTCGCCGACGCCGACCCGATCCCACTGAACTCTCTCGTCATTGTCCCCGTCGACTGCTCCTGTACGGGCGGCAAGTTCTACCAGTCCAACACCAGCTATGTCATGAAGAACAACCGCGAGACTTACCTCACCATCGCCAACGACACCTACCAGGGTTTGAGCACCTGCCAGGCCCTCATGGCCCAGAATCCTGACCACGATAGCCGGCGTCTCGTCGTGAATCTGGAGCTGGTGGTTCCTCTGCGCTGCGCCTGCCCCAGCTTGAACCAGAGCGCCGCCGGAGCTAAGTACCTGTTGAGCTACCTGGTCACCTGGGGTGACACAATTGGGGACATCGCCGCTAAATTCGACGCCACAAAGCAGGTGGTGCTCGACGCCAATAACCTGAATACCTCTGATACTATTTTCCCCTTCACCACCATCTTGGTCCCGTTGAAGACGGAGCCCACCAAACTGGAGGTGATTCCTTCCCCACCGCCTCCCCCGGTGGCCGAGAGTCCAGCCGGCGGAGAAGGAGAAGGAGAAGGTGGGTCTGGTAAGAGGCCGATCATCGTCGGAGTCGGAGTCGGTGCTGCGGTGTTGGTCCTCCTTTCCGGGTTCCTCGCCGTCTGGTTCGTCTCTCACCGGCGGCGCCGCCGGAGATTCTACCAGGAAGAGGAAGGTGGAAAGAGCCTGTCGAAGTCGTCGCCGCCGCCCCATCAGAAGATGCTCGATTCGCTGACGGTGTACGCCTTCGAGGATCTGGAAAAGGCGACCGGATCCTTCTCCGAGGAGCGGCGGATCAAGGGGTCCGTCTACCACGCCATTATCAACGGGGACAGCGCCGCCGTGAAGAGGGTCAAGGGGGACGTATCGAGCGAGATCAACATCCTGAAGCAGGTCAACCACTCCAACGTGATCAGGCTCTCCGGGTTCTGCCACAACGAGGGGAGCACCTACCTCGTCTACGAATTCGCAGAGAAGGGCTCGCTCGCCGACTGGATCCACAGCGCCGCCGCCCAGAAGGAGCTGAGCGCCGGCGATCACCTGGACTGGACGAGGAGAGTGGGGATCGCCTGCGAAATCGCCGACGGGTTGAACTATCTCCACAACTGCACTAGCCCGCCATACATCCATAAGGACCTGAAGAGCAGCAACATTCTACTGGACGGCGAGTTCACAGCGAAGGTGGGCAACTTCGGCCTTGCCCGGCCGGCGGCGGAGGAAGACGGCGCCAGCGCGCAGCTGACGAGACACGTCATGGGCACGCAGGGATACATGGCCCCCGAGTACCTCGACCATGGGCTCGTCTCCCCGAAGCTCGACGTCTTCGCCTTCGGAGTGGTCCTCCTGGAGCTCCTGTCCGGCAGGGAGGCCGTCTATCCTGATTCCGCCGGAGAGGGAAAGAGAGACTGCTTGCTGTCGGCGGCCGTCGCCGGTGTCCTCAGCGGAGAAGACGTGAGAGAGAAGCTGAAGAATTTCATGGATCCTCGTCTGCAGCAGGAGTACCCCTTCAGCATCGCCTTCGCCATGGCTCAGCTCGCCATGCGCTGCGTGGCGGAGGACCCCAACTCTCGCCCAAACTCCGGGGATCTCCTAGTGGCGTTGTCTGCAATCCACCGCAGTTCCCTGGACTGGGATCCGTCGAACCTGTCCCACTCCGGCTCCATCTCCGATGACTTCTGAGCCTCTGCGAGATCAGGATCATAAAAAGAGGAACCCATGCTTGATGCAATCGCACAAGCTTTCTGTATAATTATGATCTTCTGTAATGGCCAGGCCAGGCTATGTCGGAATAATGTGCAGACGAATGCGCATAACGTTATCTAGAAAACATGCCACACAGAGTTTGCATAAAAAATCCGAGATTTCCATGGATAAAGCAGCAGGATCACAGAGAGTCAAAGCCTGTGCATCATCATCCAGAGGGCGGTCCGAGATGGATCCCAGTTAAGGGTGGTTTTAGTGTTTACTCTCTCAATATCTCATCTAGTCAACTAAATAATAGTTGGTTTAGGGTTCTTGATGAGCAATTGAGTGCTGGAAATTTCAGTGATAGGCAGGCATATTACAGTAACATCACTGCAGGAAGGAAGGGCAAATTTCAGTGATGCTTGGTGGAACCGAGGCTTCCATTTTTATCCAACCATTTTCTTTCTCTAATGATATCTTGAGCTCATATTTTTTTTCTCTGCCGCAATTAGAAAGCAGTCCGGGGAGGACCCTTATTTTCAGTCTGCTTTTTCTCTGTGACAACATCCTGTTCTTGAATTCACGATTAAGCATTACTCTGCTCCTCATCTTCATCTTCTTCGTTCCTTCTCCTCCTCCTCATGATAGCATCGAAGTCAGCTCGTTGACGCAGAAACCCATCTCGCAGTTGTGTTTCTGCAACTGCGAAGATGATCTAGCGCTGTTCTTAGAACAGTGTTATGAGCTCATAGTCAACCGAAAGATGATCACTAGTTTACATATGGTGACGTACAGCATGCCATTTTTTTTTCAGTTTCAAATTCTATCCCCTGTTGGAACTTGCAAATACTTTACAAGAAGCTCTTGACATGAGAGGAGTTCATATTCTCCTGCCTCGTTTTGTCAGAGATTCCTGTAAAATGTTTGAGTCTGGAATTAAACCCTTTTGCTGCCCATCTCCATACTTGCTTGCCTAGACGAGTAGCAAGATGAGCTATGACCATTAGAACATCCCTGCAGCTTGATGGGTGGTTTGTCTGAGGTGGGTTGGCAGACAGAGGCTGATCTCAGCTCCGAATTTAACATCACCCAGTGGAACAGACAATGTTCCTCGAGGATCAATCTCCTTGTTTCTCCCAGTTATTTGATCGCAAATCTGACTCCCTTGTCTAATACCTTCTTCCATGCCCATCTGCCTAGTTTAATTAGGGTTCGTATCATTCCCATGACTGGAAGCTCCCCAGGGAGCCCACGAATCCTCTTATTTCCTCTACAGCTACGCGTTGACCACATCAGGTTAATGTTAGAGGTCCTTGAGCAACCAGATTTGCGGTCTATTGAGAGAAGACTAGAGCATTGAGTGTGAGGTGCAAACCCTAATATTCTGTCATTAGTTTCATCAAATACAGAAAAAAAGCCTACAAAATGAAAATAAATGAAAGTTGTAGTCTCTCTCTCTCTCTCTCTCTCTCTAGACCTGCCGTACTTCAGCCGCCGTAGGAAGTAGAACTGGAGAATTAACGTACTACATTAAATGGTAGAAGAGGAAGATTCCCACTCCCCCCGCGTTGACTTCTCTGCCGTCCATTTGGGACTTGACTACGAGAGAGAAATTCTTCTCTCTATATAAACCTCCCTGCCATTCTCCAGCTGCGGCAGAGGAGCGCGTACCCTCCGATCCTCCTCCTTCTCTCCTCCGCCTCCGCCCCTCTCTGTTTGTCCTCCTCCTCTTTCTCCTCCCCATCGCCGCCCACGCCCGGCAACTCTACATCAACAACAAACATTATGACTGCTACGCCACCAACGACTCCTCCACCCTCGGCTACTCCTGCGCCGCCGCCGATGTCGCCGCCGCCGGCCCCAATTCCTGCAACTCCTACCTCACCTTCCGCTCCCAGACCAACTATCAGACCCCCGCGGCCATCGCCCGCCTCCTTCGCAGCGATTCCGCCGCCATCGCCCGCATCAACGGCGTCGCCGACGCCGACCCGATCCCACTGAAGTCTCTCGTCCTCGTCCCCGTCGACTGCTCCTGCACCGGCGGCAAGTTCTACCAGTCCAACACCAGCTATGTCATCAAAAACAAGGGCGAGACTTACTTCATCATTGCCAACGACACCTACCAGGGTTTGAGCACCTGCCAGGCCCTCATGGCCCAGAATCCTGACTACATGGACTGGAAGAACTTCGTGAATCTGGAGCTGGTGGTTCCTATGCGCTGCGCCTGCCCCAGCTGGAACCAGAGCGCCGCCGGAGCTAAATACCTGCTGAGCTACCTGGTCACCTGGGGTGACACAATTGGGGACATCGCCACTAAATTCGACGCCACAAAGCAGGCGGTGCTCGACGCCAATAACCTGAATACCTCTGATACTATTTTCCCCTTCACCACCATCTTGGTCCCGTTGAAGACGGAGCCCACTAAATTAGAGGTGATAAGTAAGTGAAGAGGAACTTGCAACCAATATGAACTGTAATTGACTTGGCCATGTGAACAGAGTGGCAAACACGGATGAGTAGAGGGGAGCCCGAGGGACCCCTTCTCCTTTCTCCTCACATAGTTTCTGACTCAAAGCTTCCTCCTCCCATCATGTCTGGCGAGGGCTGATCTTTATTCGTGCATCGTTCTCTTCTGGGCTTCTCTTCCCCGATCATCTCTGAGTCGACTCAATGGCCCAACCTTCTCTGTGCCCCGTCACCCAGCTCCAGTCTGGGCAGTCCGACCATATCTGCTCCTAGGGCTTCTCTGTGCTGCTGTAAGTGACCAGGCCCATCTTCCTCAGTCCCACCGTTAGAGTCGTTGGTCTAGATTAGTGGGGATTGCATTCCATGTGGGTGGGTGAAGGCTTGAGGCTAATGCTTCAACAATACTCCCCCTTTAAGAGTTTCACCATGTTTTCAAGGCAAAAATTAGGAAATTAGTGTTGGATGGCTCAAGCTGACTCCCATGTCGCATCTGTCGCATCTGTCGCATCTGCCTGTGGTAGATCTTACCCTTATATTAATATTTCCGGCCTAGAAGGTCTTCATCTACTTGTACTGGGCCAATTGGCTATGGGGGTCAAAAGTGACGGCCTGCTTGAGTTGTGAGATGTGGAGGACAAGATGAATTTGGGTGTGGGCAGAAGATATAGATTGTGGTAGATTACTAGCTCAATGCGGCTGACACCTTAAAAGGCCGAAAAAATATGGTGCCAACTTTTCGTAAGACCATAAAGCATGAGATGTCTGCCTATAAGACCAAAGATGAAGGTAGACCAAATCTCTTTCTTTGAATTTGAGCTCTCTTCATTAGCAATCTATGTAGCTCTTCATCTGAGCTTGAGATTGAACTAGGTATTGTTTTAGTTGAGACAAGGTTACATCTTGTTCCTACAAAGATCATTCAAGTTCCCCACTATTACCAAAGGAGGATGGGAGAATCACAGCCATAGATGATTTAGAATGTTGTCATTCTTGCCGAGCTGTTGTAATTGGTGTTAAACTAGAATTCAGCTTGATGTAGCCACTTATTCTATAGGTGAAGGTGATCTCTAGCAAAACAATGGAGATTCATTTCTAATCCTCTATTCACCACTTACAATTGTTCATGAATCTGAGGGTGATATGAATTGGTCCATCAAAATACCGTCTCTTAAAGTCAGAATAACTCTCGCTTCAAGTTGTTCATAAATATGCAATCACAACCGAAAATGATGGATTTTAAAAGCCCCTATAGCTGAACAATTTCTTAAATAAAAACATCTACAATCTCTTGAGCAAATAATAGATGACAAAAGGGAAAGAAGTAGATGTATTTGCTTAGACGATCAACAACAATGATTGCATTCGTTCCACTGGAATTGAGTAACCTTTTGATAAAATTCATGATCATATCTTCTCAAATACACTCAATAATCAGAAGTGGTTGAAGGAGTCCCAATCAGAGAGAAAGCTTTGGTTTTTTTTGTTTTCACAAATTGAACAGGTCCCACATATTTATGCACATAACTTTTTATTCCCAACCACCACCAAACATTTCAAGCCGGCCTTAGCTATGTCCAGAGAAAATCCAAGTGCCCCCCTATTATTGAGCTATCAAATTCCCTCAACAAGTTCAGAATGAATTTTGACCATATTGAGATCATCAACCGACCTCTATAAAATAGGTGGTTTTTGGTGAGCTAAATAAGTGCCACCACTTCTCTAGATGATGAGGAAGCATGTTGACGATTTTATGGAATTGAGGATCAACTTGATTCTCTTGAAAATTTTGATCAAAACCGAGTAGTTCAAGATAAAGTTTGTTATTTTTTGTAAAATTAGTCTAATTCTCGAGACAAGACCACCATATTTTTTAGCCTCAACTTAAACTTGATGTTGAAGTTGAAGTTAATAATCTTCAAAAGTCACCTTTGATAGTCTAGTAAAACTTATCATTATTTGAAAATATACTTCATGCCTTTGATTTATATATATGATAGATTTTCACCCTAAGAATTTGCGTTTCCGCTTTAATAAGCTCATACGATCACCATTAGTTATTCCTCATGATTTGAAATCATTTTTTATTTTCAATTTGCTAAGGGTAAATAGGACATGAGGAAAATAAGGTATAGACTTTCACTATTATATGAGGACACTAGTCACTCCACAGTCAAAAGCATGTACTTACAATTCAAAAGTTGATGAAAAATTAGGAGGATAATATTGAGACCATTGTTAAGATATCTTGAGCTATTTAAATGCTTATTCTAGTTTAAAATTATAATTGAATGCATCCTTATTTAGTTGTTGAGTTAGGGCCCAAGTTGTGTTTTAGTATCCCTTCATGAAACATAGATAGTACATCGTAAGACCAAGAAATTTTCAGTTACAAAGGCAGGTTGGTGATAGCCATTGCATGAAAACTATGATCTTTTATAGATCCACCATGACTCTTTCAACGAAAGTTAAATGTACTGTATAAGAAATTTGAGACTATCCAAAAGCAAACTTCTTTGGATTAATATGAAATTAATGTTCCTATAAAATTTGGAACACTTGGGACAAATGATTGTCATGGTCGTCAAAAAATCTCAAGACAAACCAATAGAAACATTTAAAAAAAAAACTTGATAAAAATCAAGACATAAAATGTTGTTAATGTATTTGTGAGTCTGAAAGGTATTACGAAAAATTTCTAATGGCATTTGTAAGCCCTAAATTTTATTTTAAGAATGTCATCTATGCAAACTCCATATTTGGTGATAATTGGATCCCAAGTCTAATATTGAAAAGATCTAAGCTCTTTGAAATTTATCCATAAAATGTTCAACAAGTAGAATGAGAAATGTATTAGGAATTGTAACTTTGTGGAGCATATAGTAGTCAACACAAAATTACCATAATCTATCCCTTTTGGTTGAGAAGGCCCAAGCTAGAGAACAAGCTATGCAATTGATAAATGACTCTTGTGGATAACATTTCACCCACCTATTTTTTTAATTCAATTTTCTAAAAATAGGGGTACATGAAAAGTCATGTTTGGACAAGTTTACAACAAGGTTCTATTACAATGATAGGCATATTGTGGTAACATCATTGTAGGAAGGGTAACCCATGCTGCTTGGTGGAACCAAGGTTTCTAGTTTTATCCAAGCATTTTTATTATCTAATGATATCTTGAGCTCATTATTTTTTCTCTACCAAAATTAGAAAATAATTCAAGGAGGGCCCCTATTTTCAATCTTATTTTTCTCTATCCCATCATGTAATTTTTGAATTCATGACTAATCATTCCTCCTCCTCATCTTCCTCTTTCTCTTTCCTACTCCTCTTTGTCTTAACATTGATATCATTCATCTGATTTCTAACTCATTCTGATAACCCATCTTGTAGTTGTATTGTTTCAATTGTGAAGATATGGTCTTATTCTTAGAACAACATTATGACCTCCTAGTCAACCAAAAGAAGATAACAAATTTATATATGGTGACAGTACAACATGTCTTTTTTTTCTAGTTCCAAATTCAATCTCTTGTTGCAACTTGGAAACACTTTCCATGAGAAGAATGCATATTCTGCTGCTCCATTTTGTCAAAGATTCCTACAAAATACTTTGGTGGAGAATTATGCCATTTTGTCACCTATCTCTAGCCTAGATGAGTGTCACCTTGAGTTATAATCATTAGAACATCCCATGGCTTAATGTGTGACATATTTGAGGGGCTTGACAGATTAGTTGATCTAAGCTTCATTGATCTTTCTAGATTCTTCTTAAAAAAATGACAGTCATAGCATAATTATTATATTTGTCAATATGTCAGGATTTATGAGTGGGTATAGAAATTTTCAATTAAAGGAGCAATGTGTACACACTATTTATCATAAGCCACTAAGCATAAGATCCTTGTGCCCAGTTGATGAGACATCAACTATAGTGCATTGGGAAAAGTTGAGGGCATTTATAATTTGGATTATATAATTCAAATTAGTTTTTTTATCAAGGAGACATATTATATGGCTCCTTGAAATTGAAGATTCTAATCTCTTAACCAAGTTGATAATGTTATCTTCGAGAATTTCAAACTAAGTAATTTATTGGTAGTTACTTGGCAGCATCAATAATTTACAAGTGTAGACAAACATAAGAGATAATCATTAGGTGCACAAAAAAATATCATATTTTTTATTGAACTTGTCAATTAGTGACTACTAGTTGCATTAGTGATAAGGTAGCTCAACCAAAAAAAAATTAAAAAATATTTACAAAAATAAAAAATATTATAATATCACGTCAAATGATGAGTTCATTGCATCCTTCTTAAATGTTGCAAGACTTAATCCTTTTATAAGATAATTTTTACCATTTGCTTTGGAGTTAATTTAGAATAGACATAATTTTTACATGCTACATATCACAAATGTCTTTTAAGTTATCACTAATTAATTATAATTCATGAAAGATAGTACACAATATAAATTAATATTTTAGTCTTATGTATAGAGAGTGGAAAAAAAAAGTCACAAATTAGCTTGAAAATAGTCTCAAAAATAACATGAGACTTCACCATAAGTTATAAAAGAGCTTTCCCCATTTTGATAGTATAAATTTATCAGTTTAACATTGTGCTCAGTCTTAATAAGAAAGCTCCAAAAATGCAAAAATGTCATCATCTCCTTTCATCACCCGATCTGTTCCCCCAAACCTCTATTCTCCAACTTCATTCACCCATCCTCCAACCCTTTCGTTTTGGGCCCCCACTCTCACTCAATCACCTCTCTCTCTCTCTCTCTCCCTCTCCCTCTCTCTCTCTTCTCTCTCTCTCTCTCTCTCCCTCTCTCTCTCTCTCTCTTCTCTCTCTTCTCTCTCTTCTCTCTCTTCTCTCTCTCTCCCTCACTCTCTCCCTCTCTCTCTCTTCTCTCTCTCTCTTTCTCTCTCTCTTCTCTCTCTCTCTCTTCTCTCTCTCTCTCTCTCCTCTCTCTCTCTCTTCTCTCTCTCTCTTCTCTCTCTCTCTCTCTCTCCCTCTCTCTCTCTCTCTCCCTCTCTCTCTCTCTCCCTCTCTCTCTCTCCCTCCCTCCCTCTCTCTCCCCTCTCTCTCTCTCTTTCTCTCTCTCCCCTCCCTCTCTCTCTCTCTCGCCCTCCACCTAACACCTGCCTTCATGCCTCCCAAGCCTTTTCTACATCCCCAGAAGGGCCTGTTCTCTCACACTCATCAGGTGAAACCAAGTCAACAATTCGCCTGCTCACCACTCAGTTCATCAAGCACCAGCCTACGCACCAAGCAAGCCATGGCATTCATAACCACATCATGTCATGAAGTCTTGAGATATATGACGCCCCCTCCTTGGATTAAGGTATATATATATTTTTATGAATTTCGGATTAGATTCCTTCACTCATTATGTATTTCAAAATTTCAGAATATTATATGTTTTCTAATATTCTAATACAACCATTACTATAAGAGCTTGTACTTTCTAGAACTTGATTACCCTCCTAAAACCGTAATTAGGTATGGCTTCTTATCACCTCACAATTTAAAGTCACTCATATTTGGAACCTATTTTATTCGTTAAATATTTTTTTGATTTATGTATTAAGATGAGCTGCTTCTTGTGTCCCTTGACCTAAAATCGTATCTTTTTATCTGATTTTACTTTAGTATTCGTGTGTGTGTGCATAAATATATCATATACAAAGCAGCTGAAGTTGAAGATTTGAGAAGACCAATCAAGCATTTTTTGGAACGTGATGTGGGCTCAGAGCCTTTGTGACATTTGTGATCTATCATGTCACCTTCTCACTTCACCATGTATATATGTATATATTTTATATAATATAGACATATATATGGTATATATTTTTATGTATTGAAAAAAAACATTGGCTTGTGATTCTCATTCTATAGTTTTGTAGTTCAATTAAATTTTTATCATGGTTCACTTTTCCTCAAGCCTAATTTATTGCATAAAAGATGGAACTCAAGTTGATAACTTGAGTTCAATTGCATCACAAGTTTTGTATTTATGATTGATATATTTTATTTTATTTATCAATTGGGACACAATTTTAATATCGTTATCTTTATAATTACCTCACTTCATTGATCAAATAACACAAAAATATGCTTGTTTAAATATTTTTATTTATCTAATTATTTTAAAATCATTCAAGTGTAATAGTTTTTTTTCTTTTATTCTAGTTGTGATTTATTTTTTTATATATTTATTTTCATTAGGGCCACAATAAATTTTACTTTCATTTCTTCTTAAACAACGCAATGAAGAGGACTAATTTAATGCACGAAGTCTAGTACCTTTCAGAAATTTGCGTAATTTCTTCCATTTAATGAATCTTTAAAATCGTGGTTATTTCATCTTTATTACTTGTTTAAGTTTTAGTTGGCTATTTTCTTGGATCAGTTATTTGGAGAAAAAAAACTTGAACTCATTCCAGTGTTGAATTAATCAGTATTCTGGAGTGCTTTTCTCTTTTTTGTTTAAATATTGATGAAAATTATCTCCCTTTCATTTAAGGAAAATACATGCTCATGATTTTAGTGTATATTTATTTATACAAATAAAGTAATGTGCTGATTAGCCCTATTGAGACTAATTTTTGGGAAGTAGCATCAACAGGGAGGCTGGGGCTCGTAAGTCGAAGCCGAGAAGCTCACAAAAAAGTCAGATTACGGGAGTGATTAGCACTGAAGAAGGTGTCACCGTGGTGTTTGTCTGTGTGCGTCAGAAACGAGCCTAGTTTGTTAAATGGGCCCACGCGGGACCCACGTCGTTACTCCTACCAAAACCGGTTGACCTTTGAGGCCTAGACTATTCCAGAGATTATTTCTGTGGGTTTCTTCTGTCTAGAAAGGAATTGTGTCTGTGTGCCGTCTCCAACCCCTCTCTCTCTCTCTCCCCTACCTACCACTCAAATTTCAGCATTTTCCTTAAACAGGCCAACGTGGAACCCATCGTGGTCACTCCGACCTGATCACTTGAGCATAGATTACTGAAAGATTATTTCTGTGACTCAGTCGAAAAGAGGCATTCTTTCTGTGTCTGTGCACGCCGCTCTCGCTCTCTCTCTCTCGTCTTCCACTCAAACTTCAGCATATTCCTTAGCTGTGCCAACGCGGAACCCAGCGTCGTCACTCCGACCTAAGCCAGTTGACAATTTGGGCCTAGATTACTTCTGGGACTTTCTGAGGCATTCTTTCTGTGTCTATGCATGCATCTCTCCCTCTTCATCTCCTTCATGCCACACAGAATTCAGCGTATCTCAGCCCCTCCTTCTCTCTCTCTCTCTCTCGCTGGCTCTCTCTCTTAACGCCACTCATAATTCAGCGTATGTCGGCCCCTAGCTCCTCTCTCTCTCTCTCTCTCCCTCTCTCCGTGTCATCTATCTCTCTCTCTCTCTTCAAAGCATCTTCACGGGGGGGCGGGGGACCAGCCGATAAGATATGCGACCCTCTAAGAGGCACAGGACTCCGTGACCTTCGCTGCGCTGGCTTCGCCGTGGCAGAACCTCCACCCCTCTCCTGTTTCCAAAGGCTGGTCCCTTTTTTCTAACCCTCGGAGATACCACAAACAATGGCGGCGAGGGTGGCGTGGCCCACCGCCCCTCCCACTGTCTCTCCGCCACTTGGACAACTCCACCGTCACCGACGCTGCTTTGCCTTTTCTTTTCCTCCCCGCCCCAGCACCAGCAGTCTACACTAGGCCCATAGGTGGATAGGCTGGGGCCACCTGTCCTTCCCCTTTCGTCATCCTCTCTCTTCTAGCCAGTTGTAGATCCTTCCATCAGCACAGCTGGCTCCTTCCACGCTTTCTTAGAAAATGCCCGTGGGTTTGATTTCTCGGCCCTTCTCCGTCTTCTAGCATTGTTTTACTTATTAAATACCAGTCCACACGGATTTTACTTCTTAATTATTATTATTCGCTTCCCACCGTCATAGATGTGCTTCCAGTGCCGCTGTCCAGTCCGTTTTCCCTCCATTAGAAAAAAAATTGGTCTAAACTTTTGTCTAGCTTCGTCTCCACGCAAGCGGAAGAGGAAGACTTTTCGCCGGAGCTGCCGCTGCCTTTTCCAAATTCGCCGCCTCTCCTACCTGAAAAACATGGAAGCGGGAAAAGAAGAGGAATTCGCCGGCCGCCCATGAATTCGACGGGCCTGGAGAGAAAGATGCAGAGTTAAAGGAGGAATCACTCCGCCACCCTCGACGAACCTGAAACAATGCAGAAATATAGCGAGCTAGAAGAAAAATCTCAAAGGTCAGATAGATAAACAAAGTTTAGTACAATACGAAATTAAACGAAACGAATATGAACAAAGGAAACAGGTTACCTGAACGGGACGAAGAACGAGTTCGATTGACGGACACGGAGATGAACGTGCACGCCACGAACAATGGAAGAAGACGACGACGACGGAGATGACGACGTCGCAGACGGGAATGGACAATGTATCACGCCCCGGATGGGTAAGGGAGGGTGATCGCTGCTGGAAACAATCACAACACTTGAGAATTGGGGAAAAGATATAGAATAGGTGGATTTTACAAGGAATTAATGTTGCTTAACAATTTATCAATGAATCGATTAGATTCTTAGGGGATTGATGGTTGTTATTATGAGCAGTGAAGTCCTCCGGCGATTGTGTGAGATTAGCCACCGCGTGTTGGACCTGGCGCACGGTGTAGCCGTCTCCCCATCTTCAAAATGGCCGTTGCCGGCCGGAACTAACAAAGAATAACGGCTATGTACAAGATCCCCTTTTATCCTCGCTGACTGCCTCCGATCTCCATGCTAATACAATAGGATATCGAAGACAACAGGACTGAGGGATTTCTCTTCCGGTCTGTGTCGATGATGACTACCTCGTCGGCGGGGATGGGGGTATCCCTCTGCCCAACCTCCTCTGGATCTGAAGCTTCAGTGTCGTAGGTGGGAGAAGATGGCTGTGGAGAGATGGGAAGGGAGGATGGAGGCTAGAAGAAGATGAATCTTTTTCTTTGCCAAGTCACTTACGAACCTGCTTCGAGATCTGCGTGCGCTGCTCAGTCGACGGCCTTGTACATGATTGAGAGCCTGCTGGGCCGCGGCTGGAAGTCGAACCGCCGGCGCTGCTGATGCGAGGAGGGGCGAATCAACGACGAGAGAGCACGCTTGATCAGATCCGATCCCTCGACGGTCCCGATCCGTACCAGCGAGTTTGTCATGGCCGACCTCCTCATGTTGAGCCTACTTGACGGCGCCGTGATGTTCCCTCCGTTGCCGTGGTGAGGCCCGGTGTTCTTGTGAAGCGCGCAGCGGAAGGAGCCAGGATGCGTCGTCGGCGAGCACATACACGTCCGCCGGCGCGTAGATGCAGGCGGCGCGATCGGCCTCTTCACAATCTGGTGATCCCGTGTGGAGACGGAGAGCGACCTACCAGGAGAGGTAGGGCGATCGACGATGGACAGACGGAACGACGTCGACGGCGCTGACGAAGACGACGAGATTCCGGCGAGGTGGACGCGAGTCGGCGACGTCGAACGCTGGCCACTGTAGAACCCGAACGAGGACGGTGATCCGGCCGCTCTGAAGGAGGACGTCGACGAGGCGAAGGCGGAGCCGGAAGAGAAAGACGACGGCGGCCCGTATGCCGACGGCGAGTACATCTGACCTCCGGGGGAGATAGAACGGCCGAGAACCGGACCTCTAGATCTAGTCCTGGAGGAGGAGGACGACGTTGCCATCATCGGCGCTGGTGGCTTTGGAATCGATCGGCTACCAGATTTGGGCTCCTGCTCTGGAAGGGAGAAGATCTTGTTCCTTCTAGAGAGAGAGAAATATCCAAGAGAGAGAGAGAAAGCAAGAAGAAGAGAGAGATGGGAGGAGGCAGCTATGAGGGGGGGGGGGGGCTGGCTCGCTAATTCGCCAAACCCTACTCCACTCGCTTGCCATATTTATAGATGGGCGGACGATGGCATTACTGAAATAAAACCTTAGGTTGAGGCGGTTTGAGAGGTGCGGCCCAGTCCGCGAGGAAAGTTAACCACAAAGGTTGGTCCTCGGTTGAAGTAACCTCTTTCCATGGTTAATGCGGGGCCCGCAAGCGTCGAGGCCCAGAGAGGCAGCTTTTTTTTCGCCGTGGGGACCACATTGAAAACAACAAGGCAGAAACTTTTAGGAAATAACGATTTTACATGCCACCCTTCTGCCGCCACATAATGTCATCATGCACCTCCGCGGCGGAAGCGCGTTGGCCTTGGCGGTATGCTAACCGCTAAGCAGTCGTTCTTACCGTCACCCCCGCCGTGACGACCAGCAGGGCTTAAGCCGGCGGTTGGGCGCGCGGCGAAAGCGACCGCCGAATTCCCGGACCGCGTCCACCAGAAAAAAAAAAAAAACTTCCGTGGGCAAGGGCCCTTGTTTAATTTATATTTAAATTAATAAGTAAAATAAAAACTGGGAAAACGAGGGCCGGCTGGTAAGTACGTCGAGTGCCTTTCCCGTGTTTGGGCCAGGGCCCTTGGCCCGTCTCCCGTGGGCCCACCTCCCTCTTATCCACAACCCCCGGAATCCGTTCCACCTCTCTCTCTCTCTCTCTCTCTCTCTCTCCTCTCCCTCTCTCTCATCCTAACATCCTTATCAACTCCCGTCGCCTGTCCAACTACCGATCCACAATGTGGGGCCCACAGTTAACGCCCTCTTCTCTCTCTCTTGTCTCTCTTTCTCTCATCTGTGAGGCGACACGCCACGAGAGGGGAACAGCTGTCAGGCGACGCTTTGGAAGCCACGATAACGCGCCAGCTAAAATTGTGGGCCCTTACCGACTTCACAAACTTTCGTGGATAATTAGGCAAAAGAGTGTTTTAGGGGGGACATAATGCCTAATTTTGGCCCGATGCTTATCCGGAATGGAAGGTGGAGTTAGCTGGGCCACACCTCTCTCTCTCTCTCTCCGTCTCTCTCGCCTCTCTCTCTCTCTCTCTCTCTCGCCCCGTCTCTCTCGCCTCTCTCTCACCGTCTCTCTCGCCTCTCTCTCTCTCTCTCTCTCTCTCGCCCCGTCTCTCTCGCCTCTCTCTCACCGTCTCTCTCGCCTCTCTCTCTCCCTCTCTCCCTCTCTCTCTCTCTCTCTCTCTCTCTCTATCTTTGGTGCGCAAGCAAACAAGAGAGAGAGAGAGAGAGAGAGAGAGAGAGAGGGAGAGAGAGAGAGAGAGAGTCAGGTACTATCATGGAATCCCCCGAACGAACGACGAATCTTAGAATATTTCTCCGCTTTTCCCGGGGCTGGGTGAAGACGAAGAACAACGAAACGAGGGCATTTTGAAAAGAAAAATTATGTGGATCCCACAAGCCGCCGCTCACGTCATCCCAGATGCCCACCCCGGCGCTCTGATTGGCCAGGCCCTCCCACCTGCTCAAAGTCAATCCTAGAGAGAGATAGAGAACGAGTCTTCGGGAGCAACTTGGGGGGTGGCTTACCGAGCTCCCGGAGCTCTCGGTGTTGATCGCCCAATGCCGGCCATATTTTCTTTCTAATTATATTAATCCTCCCCTCCAACCCAAAAGTCAACCCCATCCTCTCCGGGTATGGCGTTTACTGTTTTTCTATGCGCCCCATTGGTAATAAATTCACGGTTAATATGATTTGTTATATTCCGTCAACTACTCTTAATTTACTATTAAGAAAATAGTAAATTCATGTTAAAATGCGGTAGACTTAGTTATTATGAATTAGGGGGAGTGAGGACGTCCCGTCTAGAGACCATCCGAAGGGGGAAGGCGACTGTTGACTTGCAAGGGGATGAAGCTTCCGAGTCTGACTCGCCAGGTTGACCAAGCTTGGAGCGCGCTGGTGGCGGCGTCGGAACGGGAAGGGAAGAGGAACGAATGGGTCAAAGGCGGCGGACTTTATGGACCAAAACCAGTTCTTCTCAGATTCCGATTTGGACCAGCTCCCGCCGGTGGGTCCCGGCCAGAGCACACGTTTCCACGTATGGCAGAGCCCAAGGGGAACCTCCTACAATGGATCAAAATTATTTAAAAATCAACTCGAGAAGGAAATAAAATGATTTTTAAATTACACCACAAATTACGTCATCCACGAAGAGTAGGTTCGATGGAGTCAGATTTTGTGGACTTGTTCGGTGCCCAACGTTCGGACTTGACTTTTTTTTTTATTTAACGTATAAATTATTTTATCATGACTTTTTAGAGAAAAAAAAGTGATAAATATGAGCGTTGTATGGAGAAAAAAATCCCATTTTTTAGGAAATATATATTTTTGGTCAAAAGATGTGGTATTTTCCACCCTGGATAATTAGAAAATTGGGGGAATTTATAAATAAAAAAGGATATTTCAACATCGTTGAAAAATGCCAAGAATCTCATGTCTCCCTCTTTGTCGCTCTCAATAAATCTCATTGATTTGAGACATTAATTTTTATTTAAATTATTCATTAACTGCGCCGTCCTTTTAGTCAAATACACCGTGAAAGCTTTCATTTTATTATTTTTCCCCTCCATTTTCGAGAAAATCCTACGGGGGTTTATTCGAATTTTTGGAGGAGAGGAGTAGATATCCCCATTTTTAAATGGTTTTATTAAGTGCATTTTTAAATGGTTATTCGTATTTATTAATTTCGTTGGTGGTACCCATCCGCCCGGGCGCTTGATCCGGTTGAGCCCATTAATTAATTGGGCATAGCCCATTAAAGACGGGTGGTTATACAGTTTCTATTAAAAATGGTTTTGGGCCTGATTAGAGGCCCATTTTTCGAAATAATTCATGTCCATGGGAGCACCCTCTGGGGCAGTTATTGGGCTCGTGTATGGGCCGCGTCTGAGATAAAACTGAAGAGGAATGTTGGATAATGGGCCTACTTGCTCTCTCTCTCGCTAGACAATTATGCATGTATTATTGGGCACCCTTCCTTAGAGAGAGAGTGGAAGTATCGAATATTCCAGTGAGGATCTTCTAGGGTTAGGCTGTATTCTTATAACTAGGGCGGGGAATATTCTCTCTGTGACGTTGAATATTCTAACCGAACCGAACTTGCTCTGTATTTCCTCTCCCATCAGAAAAACTGCCCTTCCACCGACACATCGGGGAATAACGCGAGAGAGAGAGAGAGAACTTCTCTAGGGAAGATCCCAGATCTTACGAAGAGGTAGAGAGAGAGGATTTATGTTAGAAAAAAGCCCAGATCTTACGTGGAGGCAGAGATATACATATATATATATACAGACAGAGTGTGTGTGTGTGTGTGTGTGTGTGTGTGTGTGCGAGAGAGAGAGAGAGAGAGAGAGAGAGAGAGAGAGAAAGAAAGAGTGTACTTCTCTAAGGAAAAACCCAGATCTTACGACGAGGTAGAGTGAGTGAGTGAGTGAGTGAGTGTGAGAGAGAGAGAGAGAGAGAGAGAGAGAGAGGTGGGGAATCCGTAATCATTTTAAAGAGAAATCCCGGATCTTGCTAGGGCAGGGACCCTCGTAGAAACAGTTTTCCCATCCCATTTAAACCTGATACAATAACAGTGATCCACATTGCGTCCAATCGAGAGAGACAGACAGCAAGCTCTCTCTCTCTCTCTCTCTCTCTCTCTCTCTATCTATCTCTATCTTTCTCTTCTTCTTCTTCTTCTTCATGTGAGAAGAGTCTGAAGAGGATCCATCCATAAGAGACGGACGGAAACTCTCGCCCTCTCTCATTATGTGAGAACGGCGTAATGATAATCGCCCTTCAACCAACATGAATGACACTCCTTCGCTTCCCTCTCTCTCCCTATCTCTTTCTTATTAATTGTCTATGCTTCTCATTGGGGTTGGTACCCGACAGCGGAGAGGCGTCCACCCTCCAAGTCTCCATCCCCCGCCAGCGGAAACCTCGTGGCTCTGCCTCCTCAGGCCCGCCCCCCACACCGAATAATTAGGCCTCTCTATCTCTCTCTCTCTCGCTCTCTATCTCTCTTTCTTCCTCTATATAGATAGAAGTGGAAAGGAAACGAAGAAAGGGAGAGAAGTGACTTTGTGTCGAGGAGTGGTACGACCCACCGGCGGACGAGTGGTCGCCGTCTCCTTCCCTTCGAATGGACTTTCTTCTCCCATTTCCCACTCTCATATCTTATCTACTCTCCATGCTGGCCATGCAACGAATCGGAATGTAGTGATAAGAAAGAGAGAAATAGATAGAGAGAGAGAGAGAGAGAGAGAGAGAGAGAGAGAGAGAGAGAGGGCATCTTAGGTCCATGCATGCTTGATGGCGACTAAAGGGGAGAACTGAAGCAGTCCTCCCCTTTATTCGCCTCCTCTTCTCCATCTTCTTCAAGGGGAATACAGAGAAAGGCCCTCCTTCAAGCCCCCTAGCCAAAGAAGGGTCAGCCTTAAGTTTGACTTGTCATGGGACCCACAATATCTCATGTAGGAACTCCCCCCGAGTTGACTCTAACTTTGACCCTACAACATTGCTCTCATACCTACCTTCGAATTTGTACAAAATAGTTGACTCTTATCTCACCAAGAGTGAGCTAGATCAATCGGTCTATATCTAGTCTATCTTTGGTATGTCAATGCGTTTGCTTGAGAGGAAAAGGATTACACCTACTTTCATTACAGAACATAATTATCTAGAGAGAGAAAGAGAGATGTTGATCATTAGGAGGTGTGAGAAAAAAAAGGGTGATGGGTTTTTAGGCCGTCTATTTTTCGGGCTTTTTTGGGGCCCGAAATCAGTAATAGATGCTGGGAATCGGGGTCATCGAATAATTTGTCGGGCTCCGCCGGACCCAATCACACTCACTTACAGAAACCTAAAAATAATAAATAATAAAATGGCAAACTAGCCGTTGTTAGGAACTGGGCTGGCCCCGTAGGAGGGTATTCCCATAATTTCAGGCAATACAGCCTGCGATCCCGTACGAAGTCGAAGCCTCAACGGCCGGGATCCAGCTGGCGTCGGTTCCCTTCCCACGTGCTTGGATCTCCTCGATGCCCGGTGGCACGTGCGGGAGATCCGACCGATCTGTGGCTTCGGCTGGCAGATCGGACGGACCTGATTATCCAAAGGCTCGGTTCCAGCTCCCTCTCTCTTTCACCAACCACAGCCCATTTTTAAAATAAGTTGATTATTCGTCAGTATATGAACACGTTTTGCACGAAGTAATAATAAATCCATCAAATATTATTATTAATATTTAAAATGAAATAATTTGACTAGGCGAAATACATTTGTTTTTGCCAAGTGGCATTTCTAAAAATAGGAAATGGCGTGGACTCTGCCTTGCGTGTCGCCACGTGTGTGGTGAGTGGGAAGAACGCACGGACGGCGTGCGCGCTAATATGTACATATTTCCAACAACCCAGACCGCTGTCGGTGGTGCGCGAGTTCGGCGCTGGAGGTGGTTTGTATGGAAATATTGGGTGAAACCCCCCGAATCTGTGACATCTCTCAGGAAGCCCCTTTATCTAAGGAAATTGGCGTTCCAGATATAATTAATAACTCGGGTTTTATTTATATGCCCATGACAATATAACATATACTTTTCTCAATCTCGCACCGACTTCATGCTTAGAGTGTCAACGACATAATTTATTTTCAACCCATAATTTTTTTGCAATTAATTGTCCTACCTTTACAAAGAGTTTATTCAGTTGTCTTTTAAAATGCAAAGTCTTATTCGCATGAAAACCCATCCGGTTATCATACCATTTATTGCGGGGCCCACCCCCCCTTGTCCGCAATGAGCCAAGAAATGGATAGATAAGGGGGTGGGCAGATGCCACACAAAAGAGGAAAATAGACGACCATTTAAGAAAAAAAACCAAAAAATAAAAGGATTTTTTAAGATAAATAAATAAAATAAAAATAATCGTATTAAAGCGTAATTTTTTCCCCATCCGAATGCATTAACATTTAAAGAAAAATAGGGGTTATGTATAAATTCCACGTCGACGGGTGAGCTTAAGTGTGCTCACCGACACACAGAGAAGCTACCAAATTGGGAGGCCAGTACGCCAGCAACGTTATCCGCGGAGGACACGTGACCCGAGGCACATACGTCACCGCCTCTGAAACGTGGGATCTCGACCGTTGAAAAGATCCGATGAATCCTCTCCGTCCAACGGGTGGGCCTCGTAGATGGCGGGTCTGCTGCGTTAATGGTACGCGGCGGTCTTATCCGAATATGCCCAATGTAAAAGGAGGAATTTTTTTTGAAAATATCCTTTGTTCAACTAAACCTTACGGAAGCTAAAAATTATGTAAATACCCTCCTCATCTACGTTTTATTATTTATTTTATATTCTTCACCGCGATGTTTTGCCAATAACGTTACTCAGCGGCCTCAGATTTGAGAAAATCGCATAATATTCGAATTTTCCACGTCAGATTGTTCTGGCCGGAGTTCCAGCAGGCGTGGTCCCCTGAATGTGGTTTAGTTAGATATACAACCCTAGCAGCATCCAAAGCCCCAATCAAAAACTTTTAAGGGACTGAAAAGTAATTGTGGTCTCCTCTCTCTCTCTCTCTCTCTTCTCTCTCTGTGACTATCATAGCGTACAAGTCTCTGCTATAAAACGGTGAAAGGAGGCGTCATCGACCGAGCGAGGTGGAGAGAGGGCGAGGGAGTGGTATTGAGAGGAGCTCATCGGAAAGCGGAAACCCTAGGGGGAACTCCTCCCCTTTCTGCGGCCCGTGTAGCGTGCTTCTGGCAGATCGGAGCAATGGGTGCGGGGATCCTGTCCGATCTCCTGACGGAGGTGCTGATCCCCGTCGCTGCCGTGGTGGGGATCGCCTTCGCGCTTATCCAGTGGCTGATCGTCTCGAAGGTGAAGGTGACCCCCGGGGCAGGCCAGTCCGGTGGGAACGGTAAGAATGGATACACAGAGTACCTCATCGAAGAGGAAGAGGGCCTCAACGACCACAACATCGTCGTCAAGTGCGCTGAGATTCAGACCGCCATCTCCGAAGGTCCACTTCGTCTCCCTCACGATGCTCTGTTCTTCCCACGTACTTGTTACATGGGGTTGTTCGATGTAAATTTGGGTTTTCTCAGTGTGGGACACTGTCTCATGTGCCGGATCTGAGTTTTTTCTTTTGGATCTGCTGAGTTTTTTTATGCACGTGAGTAGCTGGAGTAGGTGGGTCTGTATTCAGATCTCGTGTCGCAGCAGCTTGGTTTCTTCTTTCCACTTTCGCTTGTTAGATTTATCTGCCCTGCGAAAGTCTCTCGCAGCATTTATTTCCTTTTCCTTCATCTCTCGCTTTTTACTTTGGGTAGTTGGTTTCTGGAGGTGAAACCATTTGAGACTGTACTCTAGATGAACTGGATTCGAGGTCTTGGCATCTGGTGCATCACCTACCCTCAGATTTGGAAGGATTTTCTTCTCTTTCCCCCATATTAAACAAACTTAGTGCGCCTGGGAGTCATTATGGCAACGAGTAGCCTGAAAATAAGTGCTTCATTTGTTGTATAATACGCATTCTCGATTCTTTCCATTTCTTAGTTTCTTCGTTAGTTTCATTGTTGCATCTTTATATATTTGGATTTTTCAAAAAATATTAAAAATAGGGATTTTTTTGTTGGTTTCTTCGTCGCATCTGCACTTCCTCTCTTAGGATGCAGTCCGTTTATTAATCCTAAGAAACTACGAGTTGATATATTCGTTTTTGGGCGGTCTGTATTCACCGTGGTGTTGAATGCGTGGTCTGACTGTCGTTTGAAAAGGACTTCTTATCGTATTTGAAATTATTTAAAGTGGCATATTTATAGTACTGAGTTAGCTTCGAGGAGGAACTTTTAAAATCGGCAGCGAGGAGGACGTTTTTGTCTACTTAGAAATATTGGAGTAATTTAGCGTAGGAATTGAAAATGCATTATTAAAAAATTATTTTTTATATTCTATATTTTAAGGAAAGCTTCATATTTTTATTTTATTTTAAATTGAATTATCACTATTTCTCTCTTATTTAATCGTAAATTTTCACATGCAGCATTTATTTTAACCTCTCTTAGATCGTTTGTTCCGTAGTTGGTGGCATATGTTCAGCATAGTTTTCTCGTCAATAAAGATGACATTTTAGAACAACTACCAACGTGTGTCTTTTTCTTTTTAGTTTCATCAGCATGTAGAACTCAAAATTTTGCTTTCATTTTTTATTTTATTTGTCGCTTATTTCGACGGTGCTCTTCAGAACTACCAACGTGTCGCTTTTTTATCTGTGTACGTAGCTCAATGTCTTGTGCTAACTGCAAACATGCCTGTTCATTTAAACAGGGGCTACTTCTTTCCTCCTCACTGAATATCAGTACGTTGGAATCTTCATGGTCGCCTTTGCAATCCTTATCTTCCTCTTCCTCGGTTCTGTTAACAGCTTCAGTACCAAAAATCAACCCTGCACCTACGCCACGGACAAGAGCTGCAAGCCCGCTCTTTTCAATGCTATATTCAGCACCGTGGCTTTCTTGCTTGGTGCAATCACCTCTTTGGTTTCTGGCTTCCTTGGGATGAAAATTGCTACTTACGCCAATGCTAGAACAACCTTGGAGGCGAGGAAAAGTGTGGGCAAGGCTTTCATTACTGCTTTCAGATCCGGCTCAGTGATGGGATTTTTGCTTGCTGCGAATGGGCTGTTGGTGCTATACATTGCCCTAAACCTCTTCAAGTTGTACTATGGAGATGACTGGGAAGGTCTTTTTGAGGCCATTACTGGATATGGGCTTGGTGGTTCCTCCATGGCTCTTTTTGGACGAGTCGGAGGAGGAATCTACACCAAAGCTGCAGATGTTGGTGCTGATCTTGTGGGAAAAGTCGAGAGAAACATTCCTGAGGATGACCCAAGAAACCCAGCTGTAAGCATCTCCTCGTCTATCTATGTTTCCTGCGACTTTAACCTTGCTAATATGTGTATGTTACGGTTATGTAGTTCTATTTTGAAAATGTATATTGAATAAGACCACTTTTCATGATTCATTTCCAATATGTTAATTTCCTATTCGAAGTTGATGCAGAGGTTATGGCTCATATAGATGTTCTCAGTAGGATGGGATATTCTGGTCTGTTTTCTCTTGATTGTGTTATGAACGTAAGATGGTATCACTGATTTAGTCGTCTTAGGTTGAATATAATTGCCCATTTTTCTTCGTACTTCGTAATCTGTTCATATTTTAGCCTCTCACGCGACCTGTTTTTTTTGGCAGGTGATTGCTGACAATGTCGGAGACAATGTTGGAGATATTGCAGGGATGGGTTCTGATCTATTCGGGTCCTATGCAGAGTCGTCATGCGCAGCTCTAGTTGTCGCCTCCATCTCTTCTTTTGGGATCAACCATGATTTTACTGCCATGTGCTATCCCCTGCTCATTAGCTCCATGGGCATCATCGTTTGCTTGATCACTACTCTCTTTGCTACCGATTTCTTCGAGGTCAAGTCTGTGCAAGAGATTGAGCCCGCACTGAAGAAGCAGCTCATCATCTCCACCATCCTCATGACAGTTGGCATCGCTATCGTCAGTTGGGTGGCTCTTCCATCGACCTTCACTATCTTCAACTTTGGCGCACAGAAGACCGTCAAGAACTGGTAGCTTTGAAAGCTCTCTCCATTTCTATTTATTTGCAAAGAGATAAATCTCTGAGTCCTATTGGCGCACAGAGATTTATTTTTTCACTATCTTCCATCGATGTGTTGTCTTACACTGAATTTCGTCACCAGGGAGCTGTTCTTCTGCGTCGCCATTGGGCTTTGGGCAGGCCTCGTCATCGGATTCGTGACTGAATACTACACGAGCAATGCATACAGGTAATTCTTTTTAGTACAATCCATCTCGTGTTCAAAACTTCAATGTTTGTTCGATCAAATAATCTAATTTTATTAAATATCTCCATTTCTGCAGCCCCGTCCAGGATGTGGCTGATTCTTGCAGGACTGGCGCCGCTACCAACGTTATTTTCGGACTGGCCCTGGGTTACAAGTCCGTCATCATCCCCATCTTCGCCATCGCCGTCAGCATCTTCGTCAGCTTCAGCTTTGCCGCCATGTACGGTATTGCGGTGGCTGCTCTCGGCATGCTGAGCACCATTGCCACCGGGCTGGCCATTGATGCCTACGGCCCGATTAGCGACAACGCCGGAGGCATTGCCGAGATGGCCGGCATGAGCCACAGGATTCGTGAGAGGACCGACGCCCTGGACGCTGCCGGCAACACCACTGCTGCCATCGGGAAGGTACAGAACTGCTCGAAGAACACAACCCATCATTAGTCATCATTATCTGGGGTTCTCCATTTATTGACTGATCTTTGTCGGGCGGTGGCGGCACGGCAGGGATTTGCGATCGGGTCGGCGGCGCTGGTATCGCTGGCGTTGTTTGGGGCGTTCGTGAGCAGGGCGGCGATCTCGACAGTGGATGTTCTGACGCCGAAGGTGTTCATCGGGCTGATCGTGGGGGCGATGCTGCCGTACTGGTTCTCTGCCATGACCATGAAGAGCGTCGGCAGCGCAGCGCTGAAGATGGTGGAGGAGGTGCGGCGGCAATTCAACACCATTCCCGGCCTGATGGAGGGCACCGTCAAGCCCGACTACGCCACCTGCGTGAAGATCTCCACCGACGCTTCCATCAAGGAGATGATCCCTCCTGGTGCTCTCGTCATGCTCACTCCCCTCATCGTCGGCACGCTTTTCGGCGTTGAGACCCTCTCCGGCGTCCTCGCCGGCGCCCTCGTCTCCGGCGTCCAGGTCAGCATCATCATCCCCTCCCTCGCTCTTCCCCTTCCATCTTCTGCGCCTCTCTCTGTCGTTGACCTGGGCCTGTTCTTCCTCAGGTCGCTATCTCTGCGTCGAACACCGGCGGCGCTTGGGACAACGCCAAGAAGTACATCGAGGTGACCGATGGGAGCTGCTCCCTGCTGCTGTGCATTGATTTTGAAGCTTTTTGAGGGTGAATGACGACGGGACTTCGGTTGCAGGCGGGTGCGTCGGAGCATGCGAGGTCGCTGGGGCCGAAGGGATCGGACCCGCACAAGGCGGCGGTGATCGGCGACACTATCGGAGACCCGCTCAAGGACACCTCGGGGCCGTCGCTGAACATTCTGATAAAGCTCATGGCGGTGGAGTCTCTCGTCTTCGCGCCCTTCTTTGCCACACACGGCGGCATCCTCTTCAAGTTCTTCTGAGCAGCAGAAGAAGCCGGCTTCGATTCACTCTCGCGAGTACCCATCCCCCCTCCCTCTCCTCTTCTCTCCTCTCTTTCCTTTCGTCTGTTTAATTTATATACCTTGCCACCTCTCTCTTGCTCTCTCTCTCTCTCTTTCTCTCTCCTCTGGTTCGTCTCTTCCAATTGCTCTGGACCTTTTGTCATTAGGTCTTGTTCAATTGATCTGCCCGCGGGTGGCTCGGATTTTCCTCCTACAAAGTTTTAGATGTCGATGATCTGAACAGTGCCAGTCCCATCTCTCTCTCTCTCTCTCTCTCTCTAAGAACTTGCTCCGCCATGGAAAATAGGCCTATATGAACAACGATCCTCAAAAACTGGTGGAACCCAGGAGTCGAAATGAATCCAGCGAGAGAGTATTAATGGCGAGAGAGAATCCAGCGCGAGAGAATCAGGAAGAGGACACGAATAAAACAGAGTATTAATGGCGGAGGAAAAAGATGGATGGAGGAGGGCTACTTCTTCAGATCAAATCAGTCATGGCTGTTGCTGCTGGTGCTGCTGGTGCTGCTGGTGCTGCTGGTGCTGCTGGCGCTGCTGGTGCTGCTGGTGCTGCTGGATGTGGCGATCGCCGTCGTCGTCGTCGCTGCCGAAGAGCTGCTTGCGGAGAATATCGTGGAGCTGGCCGAAAAGTTCCTTCTTGAGGGAGTCGAAGGCGAGCTCCATCCTGTCCAAGAGCTCCGTGGAGTTCTTGTTGTACATGAACAGCCCATTGTACAGGTCGAAGCTGTCCTTGCAGGTGTTCTCCACCAGCTGCAGCAGCGTCTCGTAACCCTTGGTATTGATCGGCCGCGACTCCAGCTCCAGCTTCGCCAGCATCCTCCCCACCGTGTGCGTCACGAACTGCGTCTCCGCCGCGTACCTGTCGTGGTCTTTGCAGCTCATCTGCACCATCCTGCAACCCTCCCCTGCAAATATCTCCAGAAACCTCCGGCAGCGGCGCCGCCGCTCCTCGCCGCCGCCCACTCTCACTTCCTCGTACACGAACGGCAGCCCCGCCCACCCGCCGCCGCCGCTCTCCGGCCCGAACATCGGGTGGGTGCAGACGATGTCGAAGTCCGGCGGGAGGGTTTGGAGGAGGATCGAGCGGGGGAACTCCTTGACGGAGAGCACGTCCGCGAAGAGGGTGGAGCGGCGGAGGCGGTGGAGGGGGAGCGAGGCGAGGACGGAGCGGAGGGAGAGGATGGAGGTGCAGAGGAGGACGACGTCCGGGTGGGCCTCGCAGAGGTCGTGAGGGTCGGAGAAGAAGGCGGCGCAGCCGAGCTCGCGCGCGGCGGCGGAGTAGTCGGAGCGGGAATGGGCGAGGACGGCGTGGCCCTGCTTGACAATGGTGCGGGAGAGGAACTGGCCGAAGTTGCCGAAGCCGACGACGGCAACCTTCAGACGGGAGGACTGCTCCAGGAGGGAGGAGGCCTTGGCTTCGTAGTCGAAGGGCTGGGCGGCGTCCACCGCCTGCACCAGCGAGAGGTGGCGGCGCCGCCGACGAGGGGAGCGGAGAGGTGGGAAGCACAGAAGGGCGGCGGAGGGATGGCTACGCCACGGCGGAGCGCCGCCGGCGGGGGTGAGTGGGGATGGGCCGAGGCCGGTGGCGGCGGTGGCGGCGGCCTGCATTGCAGATCAGATCACTGAGGAAATGCCGCAACAAGCAGATGAAGAGGAAGGAAGAGAGAGAGAGAGAGGGAGGAGGATGATGAGGAAAGGTAGCCTTTCTGGATTCTGGTTGCTTTAACCTTGTCCAAAGGTGAGCGGATCCCAGTCAGTCGGGTCTCCGCCACGTGTAGGCCGCCGAGTCATGGTTAAGCGCGGGGGGGTCAGCGTTGGTGACGGCTCACTACGGTGATTTCACCATGGGCCTTTCGTAAAATAATATAAGTTGAGTCTGGATCCAAAATATCGACTTCTACAGGGGCTTATCCCAATTCTAACAGCCTCACCGACTGTGTTTTAACGGCAGGTTTTGACGTTTTAATAGATACTCTTTAAACGAGTGGTGCGAGAATCAGTCATACGAGGCCTATTCTATATGCATAATGGGCCTATATATTTGGCTGGGCTTGGGCCCAAACCCAACCATGGGAGCCCAGAGACATGTTGGGCCTTTCAGGGAATTCCGGCTCATCTACACTGCTGCTTGATCACGTTCAATTAATTTTCATCTTATTATCCAAAAATACAAGAAAATTAATTTTCCTTGTTTTTTGTCATATCCATAATTTTTCTGAGAAAGGAGCTGAGAATATTCCCACGAAGAGATCATGAATAATTCAAAATGGAGCAATCGAGATATAAATAAAACCTTAGGAATATGCATGTCATTGTTTTTATACAAGTCCATGCGTCATCACAAAAAAAATGGTATATAATATTTCTACAAGGTGAATATTCCCAAAGAATAGGACACGCATGCAAATGACCTCAAATCTCTACTTATAAAAGGAAAAAAAAATTCCAAAAAAATTCCAAGTAGATACAATATCATACTCTGGTAGGCAACATTCCAAAGCTCAGAGAATCATAACGAACCCTGATTATACAAAAATAACCATGACCAAGTACTAACCTAAAAGATAATCCCCAGCTATATAAATAATCTACATTTATATATATATATATATATTCACGATAAATGCATCGAGTCATCTTGGTAGGGTTTGAGCACAACCTCAGCCATATCCACTATAAGTTCGTAGCATGGTTAGTAAATATACATCATTATGTCCAATGTAGGAAGAGTGAGAGATAGCGTGCTTGTTTAGTGCTGCCTCCTCTCAGCACACTATCGCAGCCCTGAAAATAATCAACAAAAAGGATTTAAATAATGTCCTGCCTTCCTAGGAAATACATCTTTCACATCATTTTGGAAGCTCGTCCAAAATCTTATTGAGTTTATTGAAATAAAGAACTTGTTTTATCTTCTAGGAACGAAAAATTCTAAAATATCTAGTTGACATGTGATTTGGAAATTGGTTGTTCTACATATAGCATTGTGTCAATAAGGTATGCCCTTTTTTTAGGGTACTATGATTTATCAGCTAGCCTGGTGGCCTTCATAAGCCTAGAGTAATATCATTGGATTTTGCAGGGATCCCTTTTTGGTTTAACAATGGAATTGTTATCATTAATTGAAGATTCAGAAAATATATGTGGATGACTTATTTGGACCAAGCTTCCTCGTCAATGTCATTATGACAAAAATTTATCATTAACATTTCAAAATATATCATGGGAAAAAAATTATAAAGTATAACAAATTTTGTATGCATAATATCCAAAATTTCATAATAAATATCAATTTTCATTTTCATGTCTTATGTGAATAGTCTTGAATTTAATATGCAATAGTTCAATTGTAATTAACGTATTGTAAGTGATTCCTCTAGCATTTCATTTGGAGTCTCTAGCATGTTTTCTCTTCTCGATAGTTGCTTACATGAAATCAGTATTTCTAAAAGAGAGAAAACATAAAAAAAAATTAATTATCAAGAATCTCTTTATTTGAGTAATTATAGTGTTTTAGTTCTATTTTACAAATTTTTTTTTATTGGCTTATTCTATTGCACTAAATAATTCTTACACTAATTTTCAAGTGCTACCATGCATGAGATGCATATAATTTTTATTGCTATCACTTTTAAGTAAATTTTGTACTAATAAATTTTAGGAGGTTTGGTTTTAAATCAAATATATTGTAGATTTTTGTTAAGTGCTCTGATTTTAGTGGTACAAAAAGGGACAATAGACTACGAAATTGTATTTTACTGTTTAAAGCTATCCTTTGTCAATAAAGAAAAACTTTGTTGTACTCAAGAATAGGAGATTTTCTTTGCCTTGGTAAATCTCTTGCCAATGTGCTTTCAAGATGTGTTCCACTTCGTTGTCTATCAAATAGTATCTTACCAATTTACTTGTCATGATCTTATGCTCCCTAGCATTGAAAAAGGGTTTTACACCTTTCATTTTATGAAGGAGCCCCGTATGATGTAATTTTGATAGGAAAATAGTTTAATCAAGTTTATTATGAAGGAGCCACATAATAAATATTTATTGATATTATAACTACAAATACTCCATCATGAGAGAAAGTTAAATTTTATAATTATGAACTTAAAGTCATAAGCTAAATACGTTTCTCATCTTACCCAATTTAAGAATGAATGTTTTGTCTATTTAATCAAATCTTCTTGATGTTGAATCACTTTTATGTTTTGGCTCATTTGTTGTCGTTTAGTTCTCTTTAACTGAATGGTAAGTAATAGCTATATTATTTCATCTCTCTGTGCCTTTTACCTTTTAGTAGCCTGACTTGAAAGCAACTAGTAATACAGACTCGACGGGTTCTAAAGTTTCATGAAGGACACAATTTAGTCCCTCGAAGATAATATAATTTACTATTAATTTCTTAGCATCATCAAGGCGATATATAAATGGTTCTAGCTTTTGGTGCCACTTCTTCGTTTGAAAGTAGAAAGAACGCTCTTTCAATCGTTACCACGACCATGGAAAGCCTAAAAGTTTCCAAAATAGGGTGCAAGTTGAATGGAAAATGAGATGGGCCTCCTCCCAAATCCTTGCGAGGAAGATTTCATCATCTACATCTAGGTTTCATCAAAGGAGTCGAAGATAAAAAATCATTTAAAATGTAATGCCCTAGCTAAACTATTAGCTTTCCCATAGTTCAAACATTTATTGACATTGTTGCCCGAAATCTACTGCACATAAGATCAAGTCATGAAAACAGGTCCATATGATAGCAAAAGGAAGAGAACACGAAACGATCAGCCATTGGAAGAAGTTTATTACAACAGAGACGGCCACGACGTTGTGAAGCCGAAACTCTCCTCTTATAAGCCCAAAACCACCCCGGACTGAAGGAAAGGAGAGCCGGTAATGCGATTCATCGATGGGGTTGAAACAAGGGGAGTTTGCCGAGGAACCGATTGACGGGGACCATGTTACCGCTTGATAGGGGGTGGGTAACGACCGTGGTAGCTGCGGTGGCGGCGGTGTCGACGAGGAGGAGGAGGTGGCGGTGGCGGCGGAGGAGGAGGTGGTGGTGGTGGTGGCGGCGGTGGGCGGGGAGGCGGCGGGGAGTAAAAGATGGTAGGCTTGGAGCGAGGGGGCGGCGGGGGGCGCCGCGTCCTCAGAAGCCGCCTCGTCTCGCCATCGTGTTGCTGCAGACCAGCATCTTCGCAGGGTCGTGCTGCGGCAGCAATGGACACGAGATCAAAGAGCAATATAGCAGCGAAGAGAGCTGCAAGTATAAGACGCCACGAGCATCTCGATGAACTCATGGCGTTCTTCCTCCCCAAACTCGCTGTCTCTACTCCTTTTTGTAGTCCTGTCGAATATAGAAAGCATTTTGACTTTCTATTCTCTCTCCATCTACAAGAGGGGCCCCACGCGGTTTGAGCCAGCGAGCGTAGGCAGTCCGTGACGAAACCATGCAGCGCCCAAAACCGGAGATAAAATAATATTGGACTAAGTTAGTTTAAAATTAGTATGCAAGGCCGCCGTTTTTGACTTTCTGATCGACGTGCCATCAGAAGATTTTGACCACCATGTGAACACATCTATTTCGGGCGTGACAGAGCCACTGAAACAACGCGGAGAAAGTGACTAGGTAGATCTATACCGTGGTTTTCATCCAAGCGGCACATCTGATGTCAACCCCAGCTAGCTGTATTCAACCGGAAGCAAAGCCACACAGAATCCAGAAGACTCCAGTTCGTTCGTGATTTGAATGTCGGCCGACATGGTTATTGTAATGTCAGCGCATAAAATCTACATTTTTTTTAGCAACAACGTCTTAGATTGATTCTCCTAGCCCATCGAGGTCGTAGCTAATGGAATGCGTTAGCTGTTGACGACCAACTAGGAGCCTCGGTCTATTGAGATGATTCAAGGTGGCTGATGGTCGGCCATATAAATAAATACAGAGAGACAAATTACACATTGGAATTTCGTTGAGATCGGGAAATCCCACACCTTCAGCTTCTCCGAGAACCTCTATCCACAGATTAATAGTGGAATGGGGGGTGGGTGGTCTCAAGATTCGCGCTTGAGCACGGCCACCCGATCGAGCTCCCCTCACTGCCATCTTCAGCCTTCCGGAAGAAAATGGCCAAGAAGCAATGGGAGATTCTCAGCGCGGGCGGCGCTGGTGAGGCCCAGAAGAATGGGTTGGGGGCTGGTGGTGGAGTAGCCCAGAGTCTTCTTGAATATTTCAATGCAATTCAGGTCGATAGGAACAACTGCGTGGCCAATCTAGCTGTTCTGGGCTGATGACAGGGCGAGGATGGCCGGCAGCTACTTTGGTGACGCTATTACCCTTGACATGTCCTGCAAGAAGAACAAGCGCATCGTGCCCTTGAACCAGTAAGGTCCGGAGCTAAGCAAAGGATTGACAAAAATGATCACAAAAAGCTAGAATCAGAGAGAGAATAGGCTAAGCCTATATTATTGGTTGCTTCATAAATAGAAAATTTACAAAGGAAATAACATGGGAAACTTGTTCCTTTATAAAATCTGACGTAATTCCGTTTTTGTTGCATATTTTTTTAGTTGACATAGCTCTTAGAAAAACAGCAATAAAATTTATTTCATTTTGTAAGTCATAAGCTGATTTTCAGGAGAAAAATCATCCACCCACGTTTATCTCATAATATAAGGCTTATCTATCACTCCTTCAAAATTTATCTCTTGTCCCATCAATACGTTCTTACTTTCGTATCCGACGACAAAGTCAATAACATTCACTATTTTTATTTTATTTTATATAGGTACGTCTGATATCTTGAGGCTAATTTGTTTAAATACGTATGTACTATCTGCAGTAGAAAAAAGTTAATTTTATCATTTTAGTTTTGGGTTCAAAGTTCTATCGATTACTGCATTACTTCATCTTCGTTATGGTAGAGTTTTGGTATCCTTAAGTGTGTAAAAACAGATAACTAGGCATTATAAATTATGTTTTTAGAAAACTCATCCTCAATATTTCATAGACTGGGAAGATGCAAGAAGATGAGCATTTCGAATGTGATGAATAACAAACTTAAAGCTCAACCCAGTGTTTGTGGCTGGCAATATACTTGTCTTATTTGACCTCCAGAAACAAAGCATAGTGGATTACATCGATATGAAACGAATGCTCCAAAAATAGAATATACTACCGTCAGACCATATGATCTCCTAAAATAAACCGTAATATTTGATTCATATAGGCAGTTGAGATGTTTAGAGCTAAAATTGAATGGCCGAAAGTCGGACTAGTTTTCTCATCTAGGAACCCCGGCACGATGAACCCTCCCTCGTCTTCAACAGCCATCATCAGCAGACCATCCATCCATCCATCCATCCATCATGTTGCGGTCGGGGGACTATCGTACTAACAAGAAACCTTTCTTGCTTCTCCACATATGAGTGCCCTAATCTTAGTACGGATTTTGCCTACAAGCGTAGACCAGAGAGAAGTAGGGTATAATTCTTACTCTGCCTCTGTCTCGGTCTCTCTCTTAGTTTACTCTTATTATGCCTCCTCACGGGACGTCATGTGTGGCGGCCAGGCAGTGGCTCGGGTGAAAGGGCCCCACAATGGGGTTTCATCGTCTAGTAGGAAGCGTCTACCCAATTCTCGGCCGAAGACCTCTGTGTAGTAGTGCTACTGGTCATGAGGTCAGTTAGTCATTTATCTTAAAGACCTATGGACTTCGTCCCTACGGGAATAGGCCCCCCCGGGTCCCTTTCGCCATATTCTTTTCCCTTTCTGTCTCTACTCTGCGTACTGGGATGCCTGATTTTGCGTGGTTTTCAGCTGAGGGATCTGGGATATGTTGACTTTATTGGGAGATGATTTGAGCCGAATCTTGTGTGTGATGTTGATCTGGGTTTCTGAAGGCCTTCGGCATATAATGTTAGTGGAAGTCGCGGTGTTTTTGTATTGTCGGATGATAATCTTATATGAAAACTTTGTCATTTAATTTAAAGAATCGGCTTTCTTGAAATATAATCTCACTCATCCCTCCCCCTAGTGATTCCAGGGGTCTGGTTTCGGCGCTACGCAGGCGGGCTCTCTCTTTCTCTCTCCCCCACACTGATTTCAATGTCACTTCTAGCGGAGGAGGAGGAGGCGGAGGGGGAGGAGCCTTCTCCCGGGTCTGTTTGGAAGAAGCTTCACTTTTCGATTCGATTTGGAGCAAAGTCGACCTCCTGTCGGTTTAGAAGACTAGATGTACTTAGTTTTATTCTCCTGCCTTTTCACGACTAATCCCTCGTTCACCAGCCTGTTTTTATTTATTCAATTAGTCGAGATATCCTCTCTTCTGATTTGGTCTAGTGTTCAGATTCTACATAATTTTTGTTTGTGATAATTATTGCTAAATATAATTCGTTGGAATAATTATCCATTTCTTTTCCTGTCGCCTGATTCCAATTTGATCCGATCCGATCCGATCCCATTGGAAGGAGGAGTCTGGGGTAGTTTGATCTGTTCTCGCCGAATCTTGAGTGTGGATCTGGGTTTCTGAAGGGCTTCGGCACATAATTTTAGGAGAACTCGCGGAGTCTAGAGTGTATTGTCGAATGACAATCTTTTACGAGAAAACCACGTAAAATTCGGCTCAAATCGTCTTGCAACAAAGTCAACGTACCCCAGATCCCTCAGCTGAAAACCACGCAAAATCAGCCATCCCAGCGCGCAGAGCAGAGAGAGAAGGGAGAAAGAATAAGGAATACAGAGAGTGAGGGATACAGCGAGAGGGGGTATTCCCGTGGAATAAAGGTAGACAAGTAGATAGATAGAGGAATGAATAAGGAATACAGAGAAATACTGAACTTACCTTCTGGGATGGCCCCACACTGGGGTTTCGTCGTCTAGTAGGTGGCGTCTAATAATCTCTCGGCGGGAGAAGACATCTGTGTCGTGACTACCTACGAGTCAAGTCCGTTCGTATCGGGGATGGGATAAAATCACGTCTGTCGTGAGTCTAAAAAGTCAGTGCTTGATTCCAAAAAGATCCGCGCAGGCGGATCTTCAGTCTGCGCGGCAGGAAAATGCTCAATTGAAGGAGTAGAGAGAAAGGGTACAGCTTCCCAGTTCGTAGGGAGTAGCTTGGGTGCAGGGCGGTTTCCAGGGAGATACACCCATTCCAGAAGGTAAGTTCAGTTATTTCTCTGTATTCCTTCTTCATTCCTCTAACTATCTATCTACCTGTCTACTTTTACTCCACAGAATACCCTCTCCCTCTCCGTAACCCTTTGCTCTGTGCTCTTCGTGTTGGGATGGCTGAGATTGCGCGATTTTCAGCTCAGGGATGTTGGGTATGTCGACATTTCTTGTCAGATGATTTGAGCGGAATCTTGTGTGTGGAGTGGCTCTTGGTTTCAGAAGGACATTGGCATATAATTCTAGGGGAACTCGCGGTGTTTTTGTAATGTCGGATGATAATCTTATATGACAATTTTATGATTAAATCTAAAGAATCGGCTTCCTTGAAATGTTTAACGGTTATTTCTTATCAGTAGTATATCTATCCGCTCCCTCTTTCTCGCCACTGTTCTTTCCCCCTTCTGTCTTTGCTCTGCGTGCTGGGATACCTGATTTTGCGTGGTTTTCAGCTCAGGAATCTATGATACGTTGATTTCTCTTGCAGATGATTTGAGCTGAATATTGTGTGTGGAGTGGATCTGAGTTTCTGAGGAGCTCGGGATCTAATTTTAGGGGATACTCGCGATTTTTTTGTAAGATTCAGTGATTGGGTTCAGCTGGATTCTAGAGAGATGGGACTCATGGGAGAATGGGTACAGAAGCTTCATCACTTTCATTCAGATGGTCAGATTTTGCCCGTCAGTTATGCCTACGTATGTAAGTATGATCAGCCACACTGCTCACTAATTGGCTATTTCTTTCCCTTTTGAGGTGTTGGAAGTCACCATTTGGTCACTCTCTTCTCCCTGCAATCAGTTGATCATCTACGAGCTGCCATCTTTTGTGGTGTATCACTTTTCGTCAAGCAAGTGGAGCTCTATGATTCGATAGGTGATCCCTACCGAGAAGCCCAAGTGGGTGGCTAACCTTGGCAACTGGGGGGGCAGCTTTTGACCTGGTTCTTTCTATGGTTGTATCTTCGCTTCTTCAGCAGTTAGAGATGGATTTTCTGATTTGTGGGATCACGAAGAGAATCTTTTTCTTTTTTTTACTCTCCTATGTTCGACTTATTGATTGTTGGGTCAACCTATGACTTGGCATGCTAAATCTTTTAGGACGAGGTTCTCTCACCTCAATTTCATCTTGTGACCCAGCAAGTCAATTTATCTGGGTTTATTCATGGGTAGACCCACTTAGGCGTTGAGGTAATTTTTTTCTTTTACAAATATTTATTTTTAGAAAGAAATATTATTTTTAATACTTTCTTCATCAGTTTTCTTTTTTCTCCCTTCATTATTATTTTTAATACTTTATGCATTATAACACATACTAGAAAAAATATGAACTAAGTGTAACAATTTAGATCTTAATGAGTGAAGACTAACTTAGTCCAACTCACAACTTCATTCATTACTAGTGGAGCCTTTTCTTGCCTAGCGAGTCAACTTACCTACTTGAAGCAATTAAAGACTATTAAATTTTCTTCATATAAAGGAGTCCACTCATATTCTTAGACAAGAGTTCTTGGGATTCTTCTTACCATTGTAATCTTAGTTTTCATCATAACAAGTGTCAAAAGTTTTATTTGAAATCTGAATTTTCCATAGTATAAATGATTATGTTAAGTGAGGGATTGATTCTCATAAAGAAATCTAGTTGAGAGTGAAGATAGCCACCTGACCTCTAAGCACATTATTACACAGAAGTAATCTTTGAGGAAGATTATAAGTAACAATACCATTGTAGATTGTATAGTACGTTGAGGCTAGTAGGTTAGTGAGGTTTGATAACTTTGAAACAATTTAGTCGGAAGTGTTGTGAGCACTATAGCAGTTGATAGTACTGATATTTATCCAGCCTCTATGTATGTTAGTACTTGGGGCATAATCTTGTAGAAAGATTAGTAAAACCCAAAAATTTTGAGCTCTTGAGATAGTAAAGGTGAATGGGAGGCAAACAACTCTAAAATCTGTGTATATTTAGTTTATGCATCTGATGTCTTCTCACAAATCATTTACATTACCTCTTTTTACTGCATAAAATCAAAATAGTTAATCTAATCATTCAATTAGATTACACATCACTGTCAACTATATTCACTCTAATATCATTACATGCTTAAATACAGGACATAAACAAGCCACTGATTTATTTGTGAATAGATTTAGGACATTTAATCTCCAAAATTATTATGAATGGAATAAGAAATCACAATTTAGTATAACTCACGACTTAGTCTATGTAAGACCCTCCAGATTACATTAGTTGTCTTGAGTTCATTCAATCCTATAAACTTACACTGTTAGTATGCATATCAAGGTTCATATTTCATCAGATGAAGTTTATTGTATAATTCACAAGATATCATAGTTAACATTTCATTTGATGTTATATTGCATAATAGCACAGTATATCAAGATACATTTGTATCTATAACAAGTTTTGTTCAGAAATAAAAATTATGCCAAGATTAATAATTTAGTAGTTCAAATGTATTTTGCATATCATAAATATTAAATTCTGGAAGGTAGATAAATAAGTTGGCATATCAAATACAATACTTCAGTGCACATACATTGTGGAATCGCAAAGTGTATCAAGCTTAATTTTGGAATATATGAGAAGTTTAATTCCATAATAAGGAAACTTCAAGGTCAATACGTTATTATATGTGGAGTATGTTCTCCACTAACGGAGTACATCAGAGCACCGAACAGATGATCGGTACCCAAATATCATAAGCTTCTCAAAATTATCTCATTTTCTTTGAATGAATTAAGTGATCAGTACCTATTTAAGAGGAATAATTTCGTCCGAAGACGACAGGGAGAAAACCTAAAGTGACACACCCTACCGCACAAGCAAAGAGAACAATGAATAGTAAGTTAACAGTGCTTCCCATAGCACATCTAGTGATTAAAAACTAAAGTCAAAAGTTTTGAGGAGGTCCGACGAGTACCTTTTTAATGCGCTCAGTTTCAGGGTTCAGTCTAGGACACATTTCGTTTCAATGCCCAGAGAAACCCCTCTAAATAAATTAGCTTTATTTACAAGAGTGGATTTTTGAGGAAGACGCTATGATCCATAGAGAGATAGGAGGGAGTGTTTCGATGGCGTGAGGGCTTCGGTGTGCTCTGCTTCAGCGGGGGAGTTCTCGGCCTTGGATTGATCCAGTCGAGGAGGAGAGGAGGTACTGTGGTGGGATCACAGGTTCTAATGAAGAATCTTCCACTCATGAAAATCAACTTAAGTCAACGGAGTATGGTCAATCCTTCTAAGAAGAAGTGCCAGAATCAGGGTTCTTCCACCTCGACGAGTTCATCTCCAAGTCAACCGGCACCATCCTCCTCTATTGGATCCAACATGGAATATTGGATCCAGGACCAATGGGTCCCTACCAGCAAGCAAGAGGATCCATCCACAAAGGATGGCCCAACAAGAGGAAGAAGAAGAATGGGAAGAAGATGCCATGTCCTCCTCACGCCCGTCCTCTCCTCACGTTGCCGCCACCTCATTTTCCTCTCCCACCGAAACCCTCCTCTCTCTTCCTTTCTCCCGCCGTCGCCACGTACCCCATTCTTTCCTTTCTCTCTCTCTCTTCCGCCCGACGTCCCTCATTCCGCCCCCTTTTCTCCCCCTCCATTTATTTATTCTCTTCATTATTCTCTTATTCTTATTATCCCTTATTTACACTTTTTTTTCTCCTATTATTTTTAATTATTCAAATACTTTGTGGACGTCAGCGACCCAATCGAGACCTCCCGTTTCGTTGACTCATCTCCCATTAGAAATTCATCAACAAGGCTGGTGGATCTCAAGTCACTGGAATCAAGAAAATCACTCCGTAATCTCCTTTGGCAAGATACATTGATTTCAACTCCCTTTGTGAAGTGATCATTATTTTAAATCCTTGCTCCTTATAGGAATTGAATGAATCATAGGCTAGACCTCCTTGTGCCTCTTATCGATGACTCTAACACCCTGGTTGAAACTTTATCTGAATCTTTGAAAGTGCGATTCTTCGCAGGTAATTATGATCCTAATTCTTCTATAATCAACGAGATTAGCCTACTCCCAATCTTCCTTAACCTAGTCAGAGTAATCTTAAATCCCAACCTTCCAGTCAATACTGATATTTCTCTTTGATCCCGCATCAGACTATGTAGATTATCAGCATGAAGATGAAGAGAAGCCTCGCATTGATCAGCACCGACAAACGGGGAAATTCTGGGCAGCAGCTCAGCACGAGCTCCTGCAAGAGAGAAACGCCGGCGGCACATGCTGCCCTCTTTTGCTGCCGGGCCATCATCGTACTTAGGACTCCTTTAGGAGCGAGGAGGACGATGCCGGTGCAGAACGTGAGTAGGATGGAGGTCTCGTAGAACCCGAAGAACAGCAGGCTGCTCACCGGCTGCGGCGATTGAGCCAAGAGAAGTGCAAACGACGCCGAAATCAGGAGAAGAGCAAACAGCTGATAAAACCTCTGTGCTTCCTCTCCTCCTCCGAGAAGAGGAGGCGCCACTCTTCCCAATGGGGGGGGTGTTGATCACGACCACGGGGCTGCTGCTCCGCGGGCGGGGAGCCCCCTCCTTGCTCATGTGTGAGAGCCATTGCTGTTCTCTCCCCTCCCTCCTGGGACAGAGAGACAAGGGGGGTTGTTAGAGTTCGCCCACAATTTTGTAACTTGATTAGAGGAAGCACAGAGGAAGGTGAAGAGGAGGCTGAATGTTTCGATGATCCGCCAGTACTCCGATCTTATTCTGGTCCGGGGTTCTCCAATTGGTCCGCTACGCACTGTCGTTTCCGTGTGGTCCCTCCCTCTCTCTCCGCCCACCAGAGATAGAGATAGAGATAGAGAGAGAGAGTATAACTAGTTGCACTTGGTAACTGGACTAAGGGACGAGCCTCGTCGTCTTTTGATCACTCGAGATGGTTCTTACCTAATGGCGCGTTGGGGCGGTCTCCGACGACCCTAACCTCGGAATCCCCTGGTGGCCGGCCACAGCCTACTGTATTCTCTACTGCTTGGTTCTGATCCTGTGGATCTTCTCCCATCTGAGCTCAGCCTCGAGGTTCGTTGAACGCCTACCTCCTTCATTATCTGTTGGCTTCGAAAAAACCAGAAACTGCTCCAGGAACTTCCGAAATCAGAAAGAAGCAAGAACACGGAAGAAGTGAAGAGAAAATGCACCAAATTGAATACGCGAATGTGCTCACTTTTTCGTAGAACACTTAGCCCTCTATTTAGGGGGCCAATCAGAGGTGAAGAGAGGATGAGAGTAACAGCCGCTCAAGGAGCTGGCACCACATCTCACGTGGCCGCCTATCCACCATTATAACTCAGAGATGTGCGGTCGTGATTTACACTCAAAATGTTTCTTGATGGAGAGTTCGCCGGAGACGGCGAGCAGCGAAGGAGCTGGAGGAGCTTCTTCATTCTCCTCCTTGCTCCAGCTCCTCCGTGACAAGATTCCGCACACCCAGACGCTGTCGCATTTGTATGAACTTCTGCCTTCCAAGTGCCTTAGGGAGAATATCAGTCAATTGATCCTTCGTCTTGACATAATGTACTTTGACTTTTTTTGTCTTCAACACATTGACGAATGAAGTGATATCTTGTGTCAATGTGGTTTGTATGATTGTGGTGGACAGGATTCTTGTTCAGAATAATGGCTGATTGATTGTCCACCATCAGTTTTATTGTCTTCATTTTTCCCCTTTCATCTCACTAATCAGGCGACTCAACCACATACCTTGACAAGCAGCTGCCATAGCTACAATGTATTCAGTTTCGCATGAGGATAAGGCAACTGTTTTCTACTTTTGAGATGACCAGCTGATGGCCATGCCTCCAAAGAAATAGATGTGACTAGAGGTGCTCTTTCGATCATCTGCATCTCTTGTAAAATCACTATCACTAAAGTCAATCAATTCAAAATTCAATCCACTTTTCTTGTAGAATAGTCCATAATCTACAGTCCCCTTCACATATCTGAAGATCCGCTTAACTCCACTGAGATGTTCCGAAGTAGGATTCTCCATGAACCTGCTCAATACTCCCATAGAGTAGAGCAAATCGGGTCTTGAGTAGGTTAAGTACCTCAAACTCCCAATTAGGCTTCTGAAATTTTTGAGTCCACTCTTGAGCTTCCTTCATTTAGAGTGAATTTACCTTGGGCTTCAAGTGGTGTGAACACCGGATTGCAATTTTCTATCTTCCCATGCTCCAATATTTTTAAGGGATAAGTTTTTTGCCTTGAAGTCTTCTATGCACTCGGGGTTGGTAGTACTTATGATTATTAAATCATCAACATAAACCCTAATAATTAAGACTTCTTACCCGATTTCTTGAGATAGAGAGCTTGCTCATGATTGCTCTTAGCAAATCTAAGAGAGGTCAAACACTCGTGGAGCTTAAATATCTGGCTCTTGGAGCTTGCTTCAAACCATACAATGCCTTTTCTAATCATAAAATATAGCCTTCTTTGCCCTCCACAGTGAACCCATCTTGCTGCTTTACATAGATTTCTTCTTTGATCCCTCCATTCAAGAAGGCTGACTTGACACCAAGGTGATGAAGAATCCATTCTCTTAAAGTTGCTAAGGCAATTAGAGCTCTTATAGACTCAAAGCAGATCACTAGGGCGAATACCTCCTCATAGTCAATCCCATGCCTCTGAGTATCCCTTCACAACCAACCTAGCTTTGTGTCTGATGATCCCTCCTTGTGGGTTCTTCTTGACTTTGAAGATCCATTTTAGCCCAATTGACTTGCAATTATCCGGGGGTGGCACCAGTTCTCATGTTTGACTTCGATTAATGGCATACATTTCCTCCTTCATGGCTCTCCTCCATACTTTCTCTCAAGAAGCTTTTGAGTAGGAGAATGCTTCTTTATAGACAAGCAAACAAACCTGATGATCTGGTGGAATTAAAGTCGTCTATGAGTAAATTTCAGTAATAGGCTCATATTTGTGAGGCTGACTTTCTTTAGACTCACTCTAAGAGACTAAAGTCTCCTCCCGAGGTGCAAACACCTCCATATCTTCAGCTTCAACATTACAGTCTTCTTCCATACCCTGATTAAATAGAAAATCAAGTAAGAAGATATAATTAGTAGAATTTTAACCTTTCTTTGTCTAATCCCACTTGTAATTTTCTTTAAAACTGACCTCTCGACTGATGTTGACTTTGCCACTAATCAGGTCATAGCATCTATAGGCCCTGGAGCCCACCTCATATCCAATGAAGGCCATAGGTTGACTTCAGTCTATCAACTTGCCCTGTGGTCCTCTAATGTATTTCATATAGACAATTGAGCAAAAGACTCGTCAATGTGGGGCTTTCTCTTAGTCCACTTCTCATAAGGAGTCAGTCCCTATAGACTTTTAGTAAAAGAGCAATTAAGGATGTAAATAGCATTGCTTACTACTTCTCCCCACGGCTCTCGAGGCAACTCCTTTGCCCTCAACATGCTTCGGACTATGGACATCATAGTTCGATTCTTTGTCTCCACCACTCTATTCTACTAAGGTGAGTAAGGGGCCATTAGTTCTCTTAATGCCCTGTGAGACACAATAATTATTAAATTCATTAGATATAAATTCTCCTCCTTTGTTTGATCTAAAGTTCTTGATCTTCACACCCTTCTCTATCTCTACTAGAGTTCTTAATGCTTAAATGCAGAAAATGGATTAGATTTTTACTTCAACATAGCCACCCATGTTAGATGAGAGTAATCATCGATAATTAGGAGGAAATACCTACTTCCACCTAAGTTGGGTGGGGTAATAGGCCTGCAAATGTCAGCATAAATAAGCTCCAGAGGTTCAAAAGCTTTAAATGTGGTGGCTTGGGGAAACGGTGGCTGGTGTTGCTTCACAACAACACAATTGTTGCAAAGATGATTAGGAATTCTGATATGAGGAAGTCCCTCCACAAGATGCTTGCTGGCCATCTCTTTCAAAGAGTGAAAGCTAAGATGCCCAAATCGAGAATGCCACAATCATATCTCAGAATTGTCATCAATGATAAGCAAATACTAATCCACCTCATTCAATTTCAGCAACTAGAGTCTGCCTTTGGATCTCTGAACTTTAGCAAACAGACGACCATTATGGTAAAAAATAATCTATTGACTTCCATACATTGTCATACGACAACCTTCCTCATCCAAGTGACTGAGACTAAGGATGTTAGCCACCAATTGAGGGACAAATAGCATATTAGGAAGTCGGAACAGTCCACCATCTTTCTGATTAATCAAAATATTACTTCTACCTTCAATTTGGACCTTTAAATTATTGTCGAATTTGACAAATCTAGATGCAGTTTCATCCAAGTCCTCAAAGAATTTTTGACAGCCAAACATATGATTTGTCACTCTAATATCAAGATACTAGAGGTTAAGATTAGAGAGAATCCTCTCAGAGCCCTGAAGTAGTAGGCCATCATGTTCCTTCACAACTACCATCAGAAGCGAAGATTTCACTATTGGTGTAGAAGAATCAGCCACATATGCCCATTCTTCCTTCTCGTTCTTTGCACTTCGACACTCGTAAGCAAAGTGTCCATACTTCTCGCAGTTGTAACATTGAATTTGTAATTTATCAAATTGCTTCTTCTCGTCATCAAGAGGTGGGACGTCGACCACAACCACGGCCTCTGCCTCTGCCTCTGCTATGGCCACGATATCTAACTCTTCACGAGATGAGAACCCCTCACTTGAGAATTTGGCTTTGCTTAGTGCTGTGGCTAGCAATACTTGCTCCTCTTCCCGTGATTCTTGCTCCTTGAGCTGCAACTCGTGGACACTCAGAGAATCAATTACTTCATTTAGGCTGATTTTGTCTAAATTGTCGTATTACTCCAAAGAAAAAGTAAGTGCGTCTAATTTTGAAGGCGTAGCTCGTAGAAGTTGCTATACCACCTCTCTTTCTTCCATCGTCTCACCTAGGTTCTGGAGTTTTGAAATGAGACTGGTGAATTTCATTACAAATTCCACCACTACTTTATTCTTTTGCATCGTGAGAATTTCATACTCACATTTCAGGCCTTGAATTCTTGATTGAATCACTTTATTCACGCCAAGATTCCGCAAACGAAGAATCTCCCAGTTCTCCTTAGTTGTCTTCTTCGCATCAAGAACCATCATCATCTCCTCCGAACTGCTTCGAAAATCACAGACAGAGTGAGATGATCTTTCTTCTTCAAGACATTCTCACTTACAATTGCTTGCCACAATTCATGAGAATCAAGAAATACTTCCATCCGCATCGCCCAGACGCGGTAATTCGTCTTCGACAGCATGAGAGACGGTGCCGGTGACACCATCTCCACCCCACGCTCGCTGGAGGTACTCATCTCGCCTCCCTTCTTTGCCATCCGCTTGATCCAGTGAACCGAAGAACTCTAATACCACTTGTTGGCTTCGGAAAAACTAGAAACCACTCCAAGAACTTCCAAAATCAGAAAGAAACAAGAACATGGAAGAAGTGAAGAGAAAATACACAAAATTGAATAAGCAAATGTGCTCATTTCTTTTCGTCGAACACTTAGCCCTCTATTTAGGGGGCCAATCAGAGGTGAAGAGAGGATGAGAGTAACGACCACTCAAGGAGCTGGCACCTCATCTCACGTGGCTGCTTATCCGCTGTGGTTTACACCAAGAGATGTGCGGCTGTGGTTTACACCCAAATGTTTCTTGATGGAGAGTTCGCCAGAGACGGCGAGCAGCAAAGGAGCTGGAGCAGCTCCTTCATTATCTCCTCCTCCTCCCTTCTTCGTGTTGCTTCTATTGTCTCTCTGTCTCTCTATCTCCCCCCTCCTCCCCCCCCACCGAAGGTAAGTTCAGTGTGCAGGTCGGTTTCCAGGAGGTAAACCCATCCCAGAAGGTAAGTTCAGTGTTTCGCTGTAGTCCTTATTCATTCCGCTATCTATCTACCTGTCTACTTTTACTCCACGGGAATACCCCCTCCCTCTTTGTATCCCTCGCTCTCTGCTCTGCACGTTGCGATGGCTGATTTTGCATGGTTTTCAGCTGAGGGATCTGGGGTATGTTGACTTTGTTGCAAGACGATCTGAGCCGAATCTTGTGTGTGGACTGGATCTGGGTTTCTGAAAAGCCTCGGCATCTAATTTTTAGGGAAACTCGCGATGTTTTTGTATTGTTGGATGAGAATATTATAGGAAACTTTTGTGATTTATCTAAAGAATCAGCTTCCTTGAAATATTGACGGTTATTTGTCATCCAGAGTATATGTATCCGATAGATCCATAGACTGTCTCCAGCAACACAGCTTTAGATTCAACCATGAACAACCACCATTACATTCCAGATTAATACTCCCTGATAAAAACAAAGAACATAATCCCACCAGTTTTTTGTAAAATATTGTATTGCCGGATGATAATATTTTACGAGAAATTTTGTGATTTCATCTAGAGAATTGGGTTTCCTTGAAATATTTGACGGATGTCTGATGTTTGCTGCCGATCATTTTAAAATACAATATCTGAAGGAAAAACCGGTAGGATTATGTGTTTGTTTAAGTTAGGGAGCATTAACCAGGAACTTTTGAGGATTGAATGGTGGTGGTCCTTCATAGCTGAATCTAAAGCTGGGCTGGTAGATACAGTTTATGGATCTGTCGGATACATATACTCCCCGGATAAGAAATAACCTCGGGTATAATCCGTGTGTATAAAAAGCGTATTTTCAGTCTATATTCTTCTCTCTCATCCAAATATTTGGCTAATCTGTTACGCTTTTTCTTCATCTAAGGGCCTATAGGGATTATCATCTGAGTATTTATTCATTACAAAGGCCTCTCTGTGCTTGATCGAACAACAAGTAATTTTCATCTCCTCTCATATGCAAGCAAGCAACCTAGGATTTAATGCCTTCCTCCTCTGATGAAGAGTACGTGAATTCGAAACAAGTTTGTTCCCAGATAACGCCCTCGATCAAACCATGCTCAAAGTTGCTGTTTTTATCTCTCGGCTGACATTTGGGTGACGATGATCATCGGTGCAGTGCTCTACTTCAGGGGTGGGGGGTAGGGGAGCTCGCCATGTGTTTGATCAATCCATTTGAGAAGGAGAGGAAGGGCTGCGTAGATTTTCGTCCACTTATTTATTTATTACAAAGGTCCCTCTGCCTGTTGATGGAACCAACAAGTGGCCTGCATTTACTCGCATACGCAAACAAGTAAGGATCCAAAGCTGTCCTCCTCTGATGAAAAGTAAGTAAGTTCGAGCCAAGTTCACCGTAGCAGCACTTTCTCCTGGTTGATCAAACTTCTACTGCTGTTAACTCTCTGCTGATATTTGGGTGCCCATTATCAGTGCGGTGCTCTGCTTCAAGGGGTGGAGAGCTCGCCCTATATTTGCTCCACTCGAGGAGAAGAGGAGGGATCACGGCGATTAGAAGCAAGAGGACAAAGAGAAGTACAACACGGATTAGCGACAACTTGGGAAACTGGATGGAGCACCGCAGCAGGAATGCCACCGGGAGAGAGACGACGGCGACCCACTTTGCCCAGTTTCTCAGCCATATGAGCCTCTTTGTATTCATTTTCATCATACTCAGGCCTCTTTCGGGAGTGAGAATGGAGAGTGCAAGGAGGAGGATGCCGTTGCAAAACATGAGGATAATGGAGGCCGCATGGAGCTCGTAGAGCAGCTGGTTACTCGGTGGCTTCCGCGGCTGAGCCACGAGCAGCGTAGACGATAAGGATATCTGGAGAGCACCCCATGCCTGACAGGACCTCTGGGCTTCTTCTCCTCCTTCTACTACACCTCTTTGCGTCCCTCTGCCAGTAGGAGGTGGTGCTGCTCATTTGGAGGTGTTGATTTCGATCACCGACTGCTGCAAAGAAGCACAGAGAAGGTTTGAGCGAGAGAGAGAGAGAGAGAGAGAGAGAGAGAGAGAGAGAGAGAGAGGGAGGTTAGAGTTTGGCCGCAGTTTAGAACCGGAGTGGGTACCTGGTCAGAGTTGTGGCGTTTTTTGGCCCGATCCAAGGCAGCTCCAATTGATGGGCTTGGGCTTCTTCTCCTCCCTGGGTCCCTCCGGCGAGAAGATGCGGTTCCTTGGAGAGGGGCCGCGACGTTCTGATGGGTTAGAGCCATCAGTGCTCTCTCCCTTTCTCTCTCACCCCACTCTGCGAATTGGATTAAATCACAAAATTTATCGCCAACGATTCTCAACTGACAATAAAATATTTTACAAAAAACCATTGGGATTATGTTTTTTGTTTTTATTAGGGAGCATTAATCAAGAATTTTGGAGGATTCAATGATGATTGTTCATGATTGGATCTCAGCTCTTCAGAAACATCGCAAGTTTCCCTAGAATTAGACTCCAAAGCTGTTCAGATCCAGTCAACACAAGATTCAGCGAGAACAGATCAACCTACCCCAGATCCCTCCTTCCAACCCGGATCGGATCGGGTCGGATCAGATAGGAATCAGGCACGTGTATCGGATCGGAACCTCATTAAATATTTAATAGGTATATAATTATTAAATACTTATTAAATATATTGGATTCCTCCTTGGCTGATAGGTACTGTAGCTGGTATTATTTGACAAATCCGGTCGGATGGCTGTTCTCCACTAACCACAAGGATATAGGTACTCTATATTTCATCTTCGGTGCCATTGCTGGAGTGATGGGCACATGCTTCTCAGTACTGATTCGTCCGAACTCTACTGCTGCTTTGATAATTGGCCAGAAAGGAGGCAGCGAGGCCGTGCCGTTTGGGTTGCTGCTTCGGCGGCGCTTTTTCGCCTTCTCTTCGCTCTGGACAGGAGCGCTAATGGACTCGCCCCCGTTTTCGCCAGCATGACAGAAAATACAGACTGACAGCAAGGAGTCAACTGAATGACCAAAGCATCGGTTGCTTCCACTTGCGGCCTTCTCCCTCACTTTTTTACAGAAATGAGGATACACAGACTAGAATTTGAATTTCTCTGACTGACGTTTAATTATTATTCTGAATTCAGTTTATTTTAAATTTGATCGTTTGCTTTCTAATGATCAAAGTGATATCATTATTGTCCAGAAAATCATGTTTGACATTTATGTGAAGTTTGCATACACTTTATTAATTTAAACTCAAAATATTTGGCAATTTATGAGGTCAAACAATTCATTTTCTTACTGTGATAGTTTATGTAGATATTAGCAATTTCTGTAACAATATACAAAGTAATAACTCTTCATATTGTAATCAGTCAATTTAACTAATTTAATATCATGAGTCACAAATATACTTGATAAGTTCCCATCTAAAATTTTATTAATATTATTTTACATTATACTCAATAATTTTCATGGTTAATCTCTTTTCATACATATTTTGAACTAAGATTTTTTTTAATTTTTTAATTAATCTTAAACTTATTTGGTATCATCAAAATATCATGTATTTTTTAGTAGTCCAATGATAATCAAGGCGACTGATCATACTACTCTGATACCATGTTGAGAGAAAGAAAAGAGGAGAAAGTCGATTTGCTTCCATTGTTTTCATCATCCCCCTCATTAGGGTTAAATGGCTTAGCTCAAAGCAGGGAAATTTTACAATGATACCCTTACAATAAATTAGTCAAAACTATTCATACAATTACCCAACAGCTGCTTCAATTATTCATACGACTACCCAACAACAATTAGAATATTGCCAGTTGGATGCCACCAACTACTACTTGACAACATTTCAAATGTTTAAAATTCATCTTTTCCAAAGCTGATGTCGGTAGGGTGGAAATGGATATGACAACACTTCAAATGTTTAAAATTCATTTTTGCCAAAGCTGATGCCGATAGGTTTATGAACCATGTCAGCATTAATCAATCAAGGAAGAGGTCAACATTTTAGGTCACATCATCAACAAAAGCACATATATGTTATTTTTACACTATTTTAGCCAAGGAAACAGATGTAAATAATTACAGATTCATGATGGTTGTCGAGATATTATGACATGAAGATCAGAATAAAGTTCCAAGGCAAAGGGAGGTTTTTTTTTTTTTTTTGTTATGATAAAAAGTAGAAGAATGGAGGAATTTGGGAACTTTATGGGTTGGGTTCTCTCAAAATGATTGGTGGAGATGAGTGGAGCTATATTGGGTAGTTTGATCTCTCTTGGCATTGAATTTTGTTTTCGTTTCTTCTTTAATCAATGGATTGGGTGACAAGCAGATGACAAGATTAAGGGGCTTTAAATCTATTTTTTACCCCTTTAAAACTGATTTTACATTCATTTTTGAGTGATAGATGACTAGAGGCATGGATGGTGTTTGTGAATTATATTTCTGTGTTGCTTTGGTTTTATTTTCATTTTAGCTTAGTTTGACTCTTAGTGACAGTCAAAGGATG